CTTTGTGTACATTTCCTTCCAAATGAGATCAATTTCGGATTTCAAAAAGGGTTCACGAGAACCAAACAACTGATTTTAAGAGGCCCCGAAAATTAAAAATAAGGTTAGATTTTTGGATTTTTAGAAATATTACAGTAAATTTAAACTTTCTGTCTTAGGATTTTTTTATTTTTTAACTAAAACTCGACTTACAGTCAAAAGAAGAGCTAAAAACGCAGTGTTTTAACTTTAAATACCGATAATTCATAATCGCGGCCATATTTTAAAAATCCCTAAGACAGAAATCTGCGGAAATCGTTGCTCTTCCAAACAAGACCTCAATGGGGTAATTTGAACGATTTTTGGGAGTGGTTAAAATACCATGTTTGCACGCGTGCTATGACACTTGGATATGGGGACCTGGATTTTATAACAGCGTCAACAAGAATTCTGACCTTCAAGGTCACCCACGATGACGGCAGTAGCTTCGTTACATGTTACATAACCACAATAAAATCACGGCATAGATGTAATGTTTTGAAAACGGTTCATATTTGTGGAAAGGTGGATTTTTCCTGTTCCGTGGTTCCCAAGTAAAAAAGGGCTTGAAGTAGCCGGTTGTAGCGGCTTTACTGTAAATGACCGCGGGTAACCCCAGATCGAACGCCCGCTCTATTCGAATGACGTCATATCGAACAAGATTCGCGGGTTCGGGGGATTCGATCTCCATAGTAGCGGACTGGGACATTTGGGCCCAAATCTGACCATCGTGTTACAGAAGTATGGTATTTGCATGATTACGGTGTTGCAAAACTGCTTATTGTTTAATCATCACCTAAAAGCCTGCAATTTTTCTGATGCTTCGATCGATTCGTTCTTTTTTATGTGAAAAAGTTTTAATGTAAATGCAAGAGTTATATCATTAACGTTTTAACGAATAAGTGTTCTTATGAAGAAGTGTTCCAACTACGCTACATGCATGGATGCTATTGTAAGAAATACGCAATTCAGACTTGCGGCTGCGATGTTTTTAAGCGAAATAAACCATTCTACTACTTACGTAGAGTGGCTTCATATAAGCACTTCCAGTCGTAGAGAAACCCGCTGGAACTAAGAATTCCTTCTGGGTCATACGAGAGCGCAGCGTTAACAGTCAGGTCACTGGATGTGTCGACTGTTCGCTGAACAGGACCGACTGTGTAGGTTACTGGCATCCGGGCAACTTCTACCCACGTCTGCACTGCTGCGATGGAAACATGGCCACTTCCTGGTACCTTCAACGTCGCTTGAAACTGTCAACAAAATAATGCCAGAGCAACAGTCTTGTAGTTATAAATTCGAGGACGGTAGTGTTGTTTGGGCGGTTCTATGTATAGGTGTATGTGTAAGTTTGTAAACGGAAAAGTTTTTTGTGCCTTTTCAAAGGCACGCAGTGAAGTTTTTGGGGATTGGAAACCAAAACCAAACCAAAGTAAACTTTTTATCTATTATCTACATGTACGCAGTGAGCTGAAACTACACTTGCCCAATGTATATTGACCCACATGGAGTAAAATATCCATACTTCTGACGGAAATGGCTCCTGAAAGGGCCTTTTGTTGATTTTTAGGATACTAGATACCACCCATAAAATAAAGGGCTTATCTTGTTTCTGGAGTTTTAAATGACCAAAGTATGAAATGTTGATCGACTCAAATGTGCTAATGTGAAGTATCATGTGTCAATATCTTAGATATCGCCTTATTCAGAACATTTCCAGTTTTGCTACTCTGAAATCGCAATGGATGCCTTCAAACTCAACTCTTGAATTGCTCGTTCCATTTGGCAATAAAGACACTTTCTATTGACGTCGAGGATAAGTTAATAAGGGGAGTGTCCAACAAAAATAATGATGATGATAATGACAATGGCAATAATTATAACATGTGTCGAAATAAGTAACTCAGAACTAGGGATTGCAAGGGTGGTAAACAATACTTATTCTAACCTACCTGTACCATGTAGAGTCCGAGTGGTAATGTCCGTGGTGGGACGGAAAAATGTAGGTTGTTGTCTGGCATGTCCTCGGGTAAAATGTCGTCCAACGGCGGCCCGGATGTTACCGGTCCTTCTCCTCGTAATGTCCAGTACAAGCTGATCTAAAGGAAAAGCACGAAAGACAACATGTACCCTTCTAAGGCATATGTTAGGCACCAAATGAGTTAGGCAGTAATACGGAGATTTTAATTAACAAAATACTTGTAGTGCAATTAGTATTCACCTATAGAATAGGATTATTATGAAAATTATTGAATGTTTCTTTCCTTAAAATCAAAGGCAGACTCACGAGCATTGTGCAGTTTTATCCAAACTCAATAACAAGTTGCCAATACAATTACTTCTTGTGATTCATCAAGTATGTAGTACACACACACACACACACACACACACACACACACACACACACACACACACACACATATATATATATATATATATATATATATATATATATATATATATATATTTATATACAGAATGAGAACTGTCGCTTCTGCTCCTGAGTATGTATGAACACATTTACTAGACAGTATTTAATCTTATATTGTTTTTAATTATGTACTATTATAATATTTTATGTATATATTTCCCAAACTGCACCACTTGCACAGCAGCGAAAACATGGATACATGTTCACCTGCTTACTCAGACAAGTAAAGAATTACAGTTTTTTTTGGTCCCCGACAAGTTACCTCATTTTTTGTGCAACCACAGAAACTGGTGTGGCCTAAAAAGGCGTCAGTTTTTCTGGAAACTAAGGATTCTAGACAACATGCCACCCATATAAAAAAAACAGTGGCGTTTGTATGACATTTGACGAACCTCATGATCTTCCACACATTCAATAGACAGCTCGCCGTGGAAGGTAATGTTGCCGGTCCGATGAACCGAAAGAGCATTCTCTATACTAAGAAAATACGAAAAAATCCTGGTAAAGTAAAGACGTTTTGGCAACCTCAGAACAGCAAATTCGGTTGCAAACTGAAAAAAGGACAAGGGTCCCAAAGAGACCCAGGAACAAAATTATCACGAAGTGGTCAAACTTGGTTTATAAACAATGAAACAAGATTTCGGAGACCTACATATAAAATTTTATTTCATTGATTTGTTATGTGAATCTAATGATTGCATAAAGCATGATTTAAATGATGGTTTTCTCAACTGAAATTACATATATTTTTGGGTAAAAGTCAAATCCTTTGCAATTTTGCAAGGTTTAGCTTCGACATTGTCGTCACAGGCAAAGTTAAAAAATACAGAAAAATGTTTGACCATAATATATTATATTGTTATGATTTTCATACTATAGTCCATAATATTCTGACTATATTATCTTCAATAGGAATATCAATTTAAATGTCTTAATTGTTTAGAAATGAACTAACGGAAACAATGACAGATAGGCAAGGCAGAAAATGCATACTCGCGAATTCCTTCATGAATATCAGCGATGACATAACACTGCTGGTCAGCAGGGGGAGCTTTTTTCTCAGCTGCCTCATTCAAGATGCAGCCGGTATGGACCACAGCACACGGCTCGGCTAGTGGTGGTTGATCTAACAAGGAAATAATAAATGGATAAGATGTTATTGCAATTTGTATAATGCATGGCAAATCACTGCTTAGTTTTAAGCAAATAATCTATTATCTTCAGAATTATTGATATTTTGATTAATAATTTCCATACCATAACATGAAGTTCATATCATGGCAATAAAAAACAAAGAACGTATTGTCTACATTAAGTTTCTGAAATAAGGTTAGCCATTGGTACTTTATCTTAGAAAGATATAAAACGTGTCAAATTGACGTGCGTCATTGCATGTCCATTTCTTTTTTTATTCCTTAATTTTTTTAATTTTTATTTAATTCTTTTCTCATAATTTTTCCACTACATTTAGCTCCTTTATATTCTTTAGAAATATGAATGTAATAACTTATGTTGCCTCGAGTTTGTTTTACAATACTATAATTAAGCTAGAAAAAATACAGCAAAGAAAGACAAAACAGAAAGTGTACAAATAGATAAATAAACAATGACATGGTGCATTACCAATACCAGTTTGCAATGTATGATATAGGAACTATCTGTAACATCTGAATGACACACAAATGCAGTGCGGTAGCCTCGAGTTTAAATACCTGTGCCGTAGAGGGAAATTTCCCGAATCCTCGGTCCCTCCCCGCTATGTGTGTCCACAGTGATCCTCAGGAACTGAGCTTGAGTGTAAACGTCAAAGGTTTGCAGGGAAGTAAGTCCTGCCTGCACCCCGTCAGAGCTGTCAACAAATCCCCAATTATACGCATTGCTGGGGGAACTGTAAAGAAAATGCAGAGCATATAATTGAAAATAAAATTAAAGCGTCTATGAAATGGAATAAAAAGTCGTCATATTCTACGATTTTTTGCAGATTTGAGAAGTTCTTTGCCTTGTGATTAAAATGAGATATTGTTTGTGCGATAATTCAGTCGGGAAGTCATGTTAAAACGTGCTCAAAACCCGCAATATTTTCGGATTTTGTGCGAATGCAAATAATATGCAAATGATATGCGTGACGTAAAAAGTGGTATCTCAGTCGAACTGTCATGGCGGCGCCTACGGGTAAACAGCGTAGGCATGGGTCCAAATACTGTGTAGCAGGAGGGCCAAATGGAGCTAGTTGCAAAAACAGCAACTTCACCGAAGGCATATCTATGCACAAGTTCCCTCAAGTGAAGAATACTGGAACTGAGGCAGACAACGAGAAGGCGAGAACCAGAAGAGTGTGGATCAAGTTTGTGCAGAGGCATCGGCGTGATTTTCAAGTCTCCGCGTCATCTGTCTTGTGCTCCGCACACTTCGAGCCCTCATGTTTCAGCCAAAATCTGGAGCTTGCGGAGAGCTGCGGGATTAGGAGGAGACTAGAACCATGAGCAGTCCCAACCATAGACATCGCGGGTCTGCCGGCGCAAACTGCCCCTGTTACGACTGAACGGGAGCGCAGACGGGTGAGTTTGACCGCCGCATAATTTTTATTCTTTGTAACTTACATACAGTGTTTACTGAAACTTTACCTCGTGTTTTACCAATTTCCAGTCTTGGTAGAATACCAGCACTTGCACGTTTGGTCTCCAAAAACAAACCAGTGAATCCTATATACTTTTAGCATCAAATTTTTTGATAGTATTTGTCGGCGGCGTCGCAAACAAAGCGCACAAAAATTTTCATAACAAACAAGATGGCGACGCCGCCAAAGCTTCCAAGTAGATTTCCTGTCATGAGATTTTCTGTCGGTGTTTCTAGTTTATGGATGTTCTCGCGATCTTTACAACTGATACGTGGGTTCTCACGGAGATCTTAGTTTCCATTAGGCTCCGAAAACAGGCTGTATCATAAGTGTATGGGTGGATTTTCTTTGTCGGCGGCGTCTGCCGCTGAAACCAAGCGCACATTTCAATAACAAAACTTGCGAGAAATCAAAATGGCGGCGCTAGCGCCACCCGAGTAGCCAGCATTTCTGTAACGCAATTTTCTGTCTCAACGTCATACTTTCCAGGACTGGGGGCCCACGAATTTTGTAATAAAACACACACCGAATACACATTGTTTTTGGAGATGTATAAGAGTTGCAATTAAACCGATGTTGTAAACTTCTGAGCGTCACCGGCCAAACAAAATCATGGAACAATTTGGTCATGGCGCGCGGGACCGCATGTAGTTACTAACAATGATTCTTGGCGCTAGTATTGGTTGGATGAATAAATCTTTTGTTAATGCAGATATTAATTTGGACATAACAAGCAACTCAAACAATCTAAACTGTATCTAAACAGGTTGTCCGCGAGGTCTTAGTCTCCGCTGACCCACCAAGTGTCCAAGATGACAGCGAGCACGCCTCAGAACAGCAAGGTGGAGAAAGTGACCATGAAATGGTGGGCGACCGTGTGCTCGATCCACCAGCATGGGACTGTGATGGATGTGAAGCTCTGAAGAGGAAAATCCGTGGCCTCCAGAAAACTATCAGTCGACTGAAGAAGAGAACCAGTGACCAAGATAAACAAGCAGATACAGTGAGTTGTTTTGTGAGGCATTGTTGCTCCCTCGAATTTTCTGTCTTATTAGGCCAGATAAAATGCATGTGCTCAAGGCAAAAAGTAAACTAATAAAATGGTTGTTGCAGTAACTTTGCTTCAGTGTTATATTTTACAATTTCCATTATTCTTGTAAGGTACAAAGCACAATGCTGTGTACGCAAAGAAAATTTAGGTACATGTGAAGTGCACCAGCCTGGTATCCAAACTGATTGTAGCTACCAATACTCTTTTGTCCAGTCCACAAATGCAGTCAGTCAATTGGTCAGAATAATCATCTTCTGTATGAAATATGATATAGGTAAAAGAAACTGGGACTGCTCGGAGGCTATAAATAGGTTTGGAAACCAGGCTACAGTCACAAGGTCTATATATAGGTCAACAAAATAAAACAGGTTTGCCCAATCATCTGTAATTTGTAGTAACTTCTAGTTTTACTTGTACACTGTAGCCAACTGTTTTTTTTTTTTGTGGTGAATTGCCGTCTTCATATGAGGGTTTACATTCAATCCAAAATTGATAGTATTTACAAGTTTTCCTGATTTTCATGTGCTACGTTATCAAAATTGCCATCTTTCAGATCTAAATTACCTTTCTGACACTGTAAAGTGTAAACAATTGTGTCCAATTGTGTTTATTTTGTCATAATAGAGGTGCAGGTACACTGTACGTTCAGATCTGTAAAATTAGTACCAAGATAATTTATAAAATGTACAACTACAAGTAACAGTACCGATAAAACATGCTGAAATTTTGAAACTTCATGCAGGGGTTTTTCTAGAAAAATTTAGCAAGAGGGAGCAGATCGCAAGCATGGCAAGGAACAAAGCGACCGAGGGGGATTTTTAATAAGAGTAACACAGTTTGTAATGCTAGAATGCACTGTTGCATTGTTTTTACATCTTTACTGGGAAAAGATCATTTTGAGAATTAGACTAAATGGTGTGTAAGTAGCCACATAGGGTTAAATTTGAAAATTGGTATGAGGCAGCTGGCTGGTTATATGAGGGAGCAGCTCCCTTATTCCCCTGTTTAGAAAAAGCCCTGTTCATGTGAACTACCTTCAAAATAACTTCTCACATGCTCACTTCTCACTCCAGGTTGATTCTGAGTTGGAGGATGACGTCGAGGACACCGACTCTCCCTTGGACGCACCATCTAGTCCTTATGAAGAAGATGAGGAGGAAGGGGAGCTTTTTGACGTTGATGATGAGGACTACGAGTATGAACCTGAGTCGGACTACTCAAACGAGGAGGCATCAGCAGGAGCAGGGTCACCACCAGATGAAGAGGAAGATGTGATGTAAGTGACAGTTTTAATACGAAATGTAAACTTTGAAGGTGGCTGTATACAACGTATGCAGGGAAACCTTTGTACTGGATATTTATTCAGTAAATTTCAAGTCCTTGAAGTAAATTAGTTTCCTGGGAACCCAAAAGGGAGCTTTTAGCTTTCTGTGACTAAGAAGGAAACATGACACAGTTTCCCTGTCATAGTTTGTATCATACATGAGCTTGGATGACAGAATAACTTTATCTCAGTCTTGTAAAAGATATGCTTAAATTTTTGTTTATTATCATATTTTACAGTGTTGAACCTGGAACAGACATCATGGAAGAGCCCAAGTTCCTGGTCTTCTACACCATGCTGATGGGTCTGTTCAAGCTCTTCTGCTTCAAGTGCAAGCGGGACAACCCAAAAGTGAAAGTGACGAAGGACGGGACGATGGCCACCGTGAAGCAACACTGCGAGTCATGCGGCGGGAACAGCTTCACCTGGAGATCGCAACCATACATACTTGGAAGATTTCCAGCTGGAAACGTCCTCATGAGCTTTGGCATACTGATGGCAGGAGTCAGCATATCAAAGACACTGCTCCTCTTCAAGCACATAGGACTGGCCATGTTTACATCTAGAACATTTTTCACCCATCAGTCAACATTCCTGATTCCAGCCATCCTCCGCCACTGGGAAGTGTACCGCCAAGGCCTGATCAACACAATCAAAGGAAACAACAATGCAGTCTGGAGTGGTAGATGGCAGGTATGATTCCATGGGACATAGTGCCAAGTATGGAACATACACGATGTTCTGTAACACCATCAGCAAGCTGGTCCACTTTGAACTCCTACAGTCAAACCAGTGCGGAAGCAGCAATGCAATGGAACTGGAGGGTGCAAAGCGCAGCTTTTCCTTCCTCTCCGAAGCGGGGCTGAAAATCAAAACTTTCATCACAGACAGGCACAAAGGGATCGACAGATGGATCAGGGAAGAACAGAAAGACACTGCACACTACTACGACTTGTGGCATGTCTGCAAAAGCCTGGTGAAGGACCTGAGGAAGGCGTACAAAGAGAAGAACTGCGAGGTAATCAAAGACTGGTGCAAAAGCATCAAGAAGCACTTGTATTGGTGCGCGCAATCCACCTCGCAAGGGTTCGGACAGCTGATCGTCGCCAAGTGGAAATCTATCATGAGGCACATTGCGAACAAGCATGATGGTCACCCCGACGAGTCCTTTCCCACCTGTGCGCATGGACCACTGGACCAGGAGAGGAAGTGGATTTTCAGTGGTAAAATCTTGCTCACATTTCTGTTGGACAACTATGTCTTCTAATAAATATGTGAAATATTTCTGCAGACTACCTGTAGTCTACTGTATAGAGCTATGGTGTAACTTGAAATTTGACATGCCCAAACAATGTAATGTTTTTGTACCTTCACTCACTGAATGCAGTATGCAATAGGGTAGGGTTGATTCAACTTTGTCATGAAGACATACGCGAAAATTGATGTGTCATTTTTGATTATGTCATATGCTAAACCATCTTATCAATGTGAACTTTGTCACACAGGAAGTACGGCCCATCAGAAGCTGGAGACAGTTCTGCTAAAGAAGCAAAGACTTGAAGACATCAAGAGGGTGTCTTCAGAGGGTCAGACTAGCTGCCTTGAGGGCTTTCACTCCACTCTGAAGCACTGGCACCCAAAAATGACATCCTACTCATGGCTGGGCAGCATGTGCAGGTAACGTTTCCTTCATTTATCAGCCAGCAAAGTGTTTCCATGGTGAGGGGTCTTGTCACTGTATAACTATTATAATTTTAAACAAAATTCTAAGTTACATTCTGTATCTTTTACCTCAGGCACATCTTAGCTGTCCTGCATTTCAACGAAAACCTAAAGCGAGATCCCCAGCTCACCAAGGATGGCAAAACGTACTACAAGGTCACCTACCCGAAGTACAAGTTTGGTGATGAAGTTGTGAAAACTGTACCATCACCACCAACATACCGTAAGTATAATCAACATGGTACATGTACTTGCATGGTGTGAGGTGTATTTATTTGGTTGTATGGGCTCGGGGTTGCCACCATTTTTTCGACCTTGTGTGACTTACCTTTTAGTCTAGCTTGAGGACAGTTTCTACATATTAGACCTGTTCCCCTTCTTCCATTCAAAACAAATAAGGTCTTGTATGATTTAGATATTAATGGCACCATTCTGTACTTTTCCTTTCTGCAGAATACGTCAGTGACATCAAGAGTGTCATGTTGAGCACATCAAGGGAGAAGTTGACAGAGACGTCTGAGAAGTACTCAGAACTGGTTCCGGCACCTCTCTGCAGCCAGTTCACAGAGAAGCGTTCCAGAGCGGAAGCCATACAGCGCCATGAAGATAGGATGCAAGCATGCACACAGCTTTACCCACCAGGTAAGTCACAATTATTAGTATACATCATCAAATATTGTAAAGCCAGAATGCTGTTTTTGTTGCAAGTTCACTTCTTACTTATAGTTTCCTATATTTTCTACAGTGCAAGAACAGGACAACATGAATGCTGTTTTTCTTCCAAATTCACTTCTTACCACATGTACAGTGTAATAACTTTCCAATATTTTTTACAGTGCAAGAGCAGGACAACATGAATGCTGTTTTTCTTTCAAATTCACTTCTTACTACATGTAATAACTTTCCAATATTTTTTACAGTGCAAGAACAGGACAACATGAATACTGTTTTTCTTTCAAATTCACTTCTTACTACATGTAATAACTTTCCAATATTTTTACAGTGCAAGAGCAGGACAACTACTATGTACTATGTACAAGTCGCTGCAATGTATTTTAGTGTATTGCTTTCAATTGAAACAATAAACCAATTATAAAAACATGAATGCTGTTTTTCTTCCAAATTCACTTCTTACTACATGTAATAACTTTCCTATATTTTCTACAGTGCAAGAGCAGGACAACATGAATGCTGTTCTTACTACATGTAATAACTTTCCAATATTTTTTACAGTGCAAGAACAGGACAACATGAATGCTGTTTTTCTTCCAAATTCACTTCTTACTACATGTAATAATTTTCCTATATTTTCTACAGTGCAAGAACAGGACAACATGAATACTGTTTTTCTTTCAAAATTCACTTCTTACTACATGTAATAACTTTCCAATATTTTTTACAGTGCAAGAACAGGACAACATGAATACTGTTTTTCTTGCAAATTCGCCTCTTACTTATAGCTTTCCTATATTTTCTACAGTGCAAGAACAGGACAACATGCGGACACAGCTTGAAGCTGAGGCGGTGGCAAGTACTACCGCAGTGGCAAGCAACACCAGGAAAACACGAACCTGCAAAAAATGCAAGAAGCCCATGAAAGGCCATCCCCGAGGGGCTTGTCCCAGTACTTAGATCCCGTCTGTAGCTGTTGTAAGACCTTTTATTTTGGTCAGATCCAACATTGTTACCATTGACATTGTGTTTTACTTTCTTCTTGATTTATACAAATGACAGTTTTTCAACAAGTAAAGCATTTCATTGGTATCATTCTCTTTCCTGAGATGATCTGTATCCCCGGGCTTGACCTGCACTGAACTCAGTCCTCATTTTGTGGTACACACATGCGGAGAGGGGCCTGGAATGATCCCAGCCGAGGTACCCACACATCCATCTCACCAGCAACCTGTAGGCCACTGCTCTCAGAAACCTGTAGGGGTTTGAAACATTTGTAAATTAAAGACTACAGAGTAGAGTATAGTAGAGCAGAGCATGACAGGACAATAAGGACAGAGTCGAGTTTGCTTAGTGTAGGAATTTAGACACTTTTGATGTTACTTGTTGAAATATTTTGTAAATTACAGAGTAGTGTAGGATATAGAGTAGAGCAGAGCAGGACATGACAGAGTCCAGTTTAGTCCAAGTAGGAATTTGAATGTTTCCAATGTTACTTGATGAATAAGAATGATGCTTCAAGTCATATAAAAGTATAGATTTTATTTCCAAGGATATCTTACATATTGATATCCTGTCCAGCTCTTCGGCGGTAGGGCCGACCCTGCTTGTCCCTCAGCATTGGACCAACTTGCTCCAGAACCACCCTCTTGGTAAGGTCGATGTAGTCCTGGTGCTGAGTGATACACTCTATGTGCTCGATGCTGGCATCAAAATGGAGTGTGCCAATTTCCGGGCCAACCTCTTGGCAACATCTGTACTCTCTGGCATTTTGCAGCAAATCAAGTTCGCAGTGATTACACTTACACCTAGTAACACAAGAAAACTGAATAAATAAAAATGTCTTTGACCAGCAGACGAAAAACCAAACAGACTTCCTTGAACCAAAATGGGGACCGTAGTATTTTGTTTTGGTATGCAAAGCAAATAATTTTGTTGCCCTATTGAAGTTTGAAATGTGTAACACATGCCTTTTACACCATTTCAAACTTGTTAATTTTTTGAAGGTGAGTACAAAAAAAGTAAAATCCAGTCACTATTGTATTCACAAGGGTAATACAGATTGTACATGTCCCTGAACTGTCAAACTTGAATTCTACTAGGCAGCTTCACACACATACACACACGATTAACTCTTCTGGATTGTTATAATGGCTGATATATTATGGAACTATAACATTCATCAAGGAGCTTCAACTTGAAGCATTCACTGACACTCCTGCATGGGCGAACTAACACCGGTAAGTTACCACCATCACGAGTCGTCTGTAGCGAGCCCCCCTCCCTCAGTACGGGTTCGAAAGCCGAACCCACACCGACTCGATCGCACAAGCACCATTTTACTATTTTCCACAGACTACTCACGGTTATAACTCCAACAGAAATACTTTGTACGAAATAAAACATAATGTGCTCAATGTTAATTTGGTACAGAATTTCGTCAGTTCTACATAACTAACAGTATTGCCCGACTTCGTTTACCACCAGGAATGTGACCACTGAGTAAGCGGTAAGTTGTGACTCGCCAAAGAATTCAAGCGAGCACGGCCGGTTTTATTTGTTTCTGCCACATATCAAAGAAAGAATAGCTTTCTCACCAGTCATCTTTGTGAATTCTTCCTTCGTACCGCGCATCCAAGGTGGCTGGCGAAAGGCCGTCCGCAACAAATTCACCGTCGCTCCCTGCACTAGTATCTGTATCTGTAGTGCCTGCCTCGCTTCTACTACTGTCAGAATTCTGGCTTTCACCCACAAACTCCTCTGCAACAAATTCACCGTCGCTCCCTGCACTAGTATCTGTATCTGTAGTACCTGCCTCGCTTCTACTACTTCTACTACTGTCGGACATCACTGGACTTTCAACGCAAGGTGAGCACTGACAGCTTAGTGTTTCAAACGATGTCAACTGGTCAACGCGTTGTAAGACTGTGGCGTTGTCGTATGAATGAACTGTGAAAGACAATGACAGACCTCTTCAAAGCATGTTGTCCTTTTGAATAAATTCTCGTGTTTGTGATACGCAGTGTGAAAATATGTGACGCTTTGCTGTGAAGTGCATGTATTGTGGCCGCACATGGAAGTGAAAATTAGCTATTGAATTTGTCCCCGACGAACTATCCATACGAAATAAGGTATCCATATGCAAAAACTGACACGATTTTTACGGGCATGTACTACAAAGTTGCGTTTGTTATGGAAATCTTGGTAAAAGTGCCGTAGCTGCCTCTGAGTGCACATTTTGTAAACAACACGCGACCGCCCGGCGGGGCTTCCCCTAGGCCCTGGCTTCGCATCGCGAAGTTTTACACGAGGAACGCAAGCTTCCGCACTCCCGTTTTTGTAACAAATATCTTCAAAAAATGCACAGAATAGGATCCTTACACTAGGAATATTCAAGTTATGCTATAATTGGTGTATATCAAAGGCGATGGCTGATTTGAGCCTCGCCGATTCTATGCGAAAAGGTCAACAAGTTCTTCGGTTATCCACGACGGCTCCGCGGCGGTGCTCCATCCAAAGAACCCCTAAAAATAGCTTTTTGGGGTGTGAATTCGATTGAATTTTTTTTTACACGAAGCGAGATGTGTGGTCCTTCGACATACGGATTTCTGTACCAGAATTTTGCTTCCTTCATAAGATATGGGCCCATGAAATATATGTTATTTTCACAGTCAGCCATACTAGCATGCTGGTGAGTTCTACCCCATACGTCACACGTCTGGGGCTAATTAGTCGCAGGGAAGGTCACCGAGTGCCGATGTTCGGGTTGCCGTTTTAGCAAGTTATTCTCGGACTATTGATTCGAAACTTGCATTGAAAGTTTCAGAAAAGACCAAATTTTCATGTGAGTGATAGATGAATATTCACTTCATAGGCTCTTTAAGTCTGAAACTTGTAACTAAAGACAATGTTAGAGAGCCGGATTTGGTCTCTCTAACACTAGCCCAACTCCTTTTAACTATAGTTAGGAGTATACTATCAGGAAAGGCTGTTAGGCAATATTGGCTGCTGTTCGGCTGCGGCAGCCGAATGTTTCAATTTTTTGTTGTTGTTGTAAAATCTTGTGTTGTCGGGGAGTTTGGTCATGGTGTTCGGTTGGTTGATAGTTGGTTCCGCTAGATTTACTAGTATGCTGCAGCAGCCGAATATGTACAATATTTGGAAGGGTTGGATGCCAGTTGACGCCATGACAGTAAAGTTTGATTACATAAATTAGACTGCATTTTAATTCTATTAATCTTGGAATTTGGTCTTTATCTGGCCAGACTGCTCCCTGTCTTCACCCTTGTTAGTGTGTTCTGTATATGAGTTATTTGGTAAGTAGAATGTGAATAAATGAGAAAGTTACAAAAATTATAAATATCAAGGTCACAATACACAAGAAATTTATAGTAATTACCTTTCTAACAGAAAGCTCATGACGTCGTGCACGATGTCGCCATAATTGGCAATCCCAATCCGGTAGATCCTCCACACCTTCTGCAGATCGAGGATGACCCAGTGTCGGTACCCGGTCGGTTCGTACAGCGGCTCCCAGAAGGTTCCCAGTTCGCCGTCAAATGCGTTCTTTGCTTTATCCACGGTCTCCAGGCATTCATCATCGTTGCAGAACGTTCCTCCACTTTCCTCTACTGCCCACCATGGGGCGATGTCCAGCCAAACATGTCGATAAACTGGTGGAAAAATAACAACAAAAATGGCCGTTAATGAACTTATTTTCCTTTAACTGCGAAAACCGTTACCCTGAAGCACGATTGCACGTAATAATAGAAAGTATAAAACAAAGTCTGAAGGGTCAAAGATATGGGTCAAAACTTAGTTTAAAGTTTTCAGTCGGCCTTAATTACATTAAAAAGACCATACTGACTGGCTGGCTCACTTACCTGATTATGATAATTAGCTTTAGCAGACTTATAAACGTACTTTACAGTGCGTAAACGTTTCTTTAAAAAGGTACATTATGCATTTTTACTACCAAACGTAATGGTATCTCAAACGTTATATTTAAGTGCACGTAAATTTTATCTTTAAATTAGACAGACTTTAAGCGTGGCACTGCCTAAACGGAACAGTTAAGAGTGTAAAGTATATTTACTCGACAACCTCTGCATTGAGCATGTAATAGTATATTTTCATGGGTACAAAAATAAAACATAGGAAAAATGGATAAATGGCCCTAAAGTGTTTAAAAAATTCCACCTTAAGGTCTTGACAGTGTTAACGGAGTTTAAGAACTAGAGACTATCAATGAGATGCTTGAGAAACCTTTACTACTCCATGAGCTATTGACAACCTGCTCATTCCTGACAAACATACATACATACCTACGTAGACAACCACCATAAACAATACTTCCCAAACCTAGAAGTAAAAGATACGCTAAATGCTCACCAAAGCAGTCCCTGGTGTTGTTGTCTGGTCCACACGCACACACCGTGCAGGTTTCTCCAGGGTTGGTTCTGGAGACTCCCTCCGAGCAGCCGCACACTTTCACATCCGGCGGTGGACGGCAGGGGTTCAACTCCGTCCCAAACACCATCAACACCGATACTAACAGCGCTGTGGAAAAATAATTTTAATGTTATGGTGATCTTGTATTTTCTTGCTCACAATGGATAAATACACAGTATCATTACATGATAGTAAAATAGCATTACCCGTAGTGTTCATATTGACCAGGAGGAAAAACAATTTAAACATATAAATTTTCTAATAACAAATCTGCCAGCTGTATACAGACAGTAAAAAGATGATAGTGATATCTCTCCACTGTGCCCCAAAATGTCCCTGGTGGAAAATCATCATTGCATACCTTAAATATTTAAACATACAGCTATATTAACATTAGGTAGACATATACTACGCACAAAATGAAACATAGCAAATCTAAGTGTATTAATATCACTCTGCTTTTCTACAAAACTGTTACACAATGTGCTTCTACATAGAAAATTGCCATTATTTTTTCTACATAAATAGTACCACAAATGTTTTAATATTATAAAATATGTTATTACTTTAAGGTGACGCCAATTTTCCAATGTCTACTGTGTGTATTCAAATTATTTTTGTTATGTTCCCAATGGTAAGTTGACTTTGGAAGGATAAAGAGTAACACCAATTTTGCAGGATCTTTCTCTTTTATATTGGAATTCTTTTTAATGGTGTTAAAAATGATCGCCTTTTTGTTCCCTTGCGTTACCGTTGGTGATCTAAAGGCATTAAAATTATACCAGGTCAAGGCACGTAATGTTCCATATTGCAAAACCTTCCGTTGTTGCAGCTTATACATGAATGACTAGGGATCTTGTATATGCAGTATACAATATCTCCACCGCAGTAAAGCCAAAAACCACACTGAGGAGTCTGTTGGTCCACCCAAAAGATAAATTACAGGACACGGCAAAAAACGGACTGCATATACAAGATCCCGTGCAAGAACTGCAGCGAAGTGTACATAGGGGAAACGGGACGCACCTTTGGGACTAGATTGGAAGAACACAAGAAGGAAGCTGACAACATGGACACTGTTAAGTACACAAGATCACAAAAAAGACATGCACAAAAAGAAGAAAAGAAATCAGCAGTGACAGATCACATTGCTAGAAAGAACTGCGTAATTGACTGGGAGGGGACGGAAGTTGTAGACAGAGAATACAATAGAAGAACCCGCTGGACCAGGGAGGCAGTTTGGATCAAAAAGTCAGCCCCTGTAATGAACCGGGACGAGAGGGGGTACAAACTAAGCCACGTTTGGGACAGTGTTCTCGCCGCAAAAGCGCCACCTACATCGGCTACATATAGCGGCGAGATGCAATACTCCAGTCAGAAGCTCTGAAGAAGGTGTCTGACAGACACCGAAACGTCAGCAAGGTGAGAATTTACCGGTCGTGTAAAAAGAAATACCTGTCTCCGGTGTTATCTGTTGTATGTTATGTTGTCATAGCGCCCACAAATGGGCATTCAAGTATTTAAAGACCGATTTTACGAAGAGACATGCTTTGCCACCAGGTACTAAAGGCAACCATTTATCTAAAATCACTACCAAAATAACATGTCGGACTTTGTAGATATTATATACTAGCACACAAAAACTATAACTTTTACTTGTTGTTGTCAGCTTTATTTATTATTTTTTGTTATGTTTGCTTTTGATGCTCTGGTGGCGTCGCAATGCGTTAACGATCATGGGTAACACCTATTTCACCGTATATTTCGTTTTTATGATCATGCTCATGAATGAGTTAACACGTCAAAATGATCATCCTTTGTGTTACCAATGGTCACTCTTTATGAGCGAAGGGGTTACTCGAAGTCAAGGCACGAATCGTTTGATCTGTACAAATACACTTGTGTTACGATGTGTTATCACTCGAAAAGTTATGTATGTCCATCTTTAACGTAAATCTAAAGTAGCACAAACATTCTTAAGTTTATAAATGGTTTGCCTTACTACAGAGCAAGAAAATACATTGTCATCCTGTGCGTTCTGTCATGTAGCTTAGTGTGTTATATGTTATGTTGTCATAGCGAAGAGTGGATCTCAGTTTATATGACTATAGGTAAGCAATAATCAATCTTTATAGTTGTGGAGGTTACTCGAAGTCAAGGCACGAATCGTTTTGTCTATAATACATACACCCTTTAACGATGTGTTCTTACTCGAAACATGAATATGTCGTACTTATAAAGTTAATGTATAGTAGCACACACATCCCTATACGGTGTGATTTCAACACTTTTGCACTATGTGCTCTTACACGAAATAGTAATGTAGTTCTTTCAACGGATAGTAGATTCCTATCTTCTATAACTATACTGACAATACAAGGTCACGAAAAATTTACTATGCTGTTTATAAGCTAATGTAAATGTTGTATCAATTAGTTTTGTTATTGATTTAAAGAATACTTTAATAATCACAATATATATTTCGTGCAGCCCAAAAAAAATCTCAAGGATAATATACGGTGGAGTGATGTACACAAGTCATCATAACTACTGTTGTCATATAGAACTTAGTTTGGAAGGTAGAGACCATCCCTCTGACTCCAACACATTTTGGCTAAAAAACTGATTCCGGGTATTCATGTACACCAAGGTGATTTAATTAAACCCATGTACATGTGTATTTTTAACGGATACGACATTTGGCCATAAGTTCAGCAGATGTTAAATTTAATACCTGCCGATCATGTGTACGCTAATAGTCTAAAAAATGCTTAGGCTAGATCATTGTAATGAGATGGCAGAACACAGTTTTAGACCTATGGGGGTTTCTACAGTTTTAAAGGACCCCGAGGTGACTCGATTTGACGGAGAAAAAAAATTATAGCAGGGAGCATTGCAGAAACACGGCCACTAATATGTTGAGATTTACGGTATACTTTAAAAAATAACTGAATAGAATAAAAATAAAGTTTAAACATTTTGATGACAACTTTTACATGGCCACATGCGGATGTCGACCGATCTGTAGCCGGCTCACCCTAGAAATCAGATGCGTAATGCGGTGCAAAAACTCTACAATCCAAGTCATACTGTCTAAACGCCGAAACATTTCTTTACAACACAGCGAAATTAAACTCTGGCTCCCTCTCTCATAAAAGCCAAAGATGGAAAAAAGAAAGGGGAGCGAAAGAAATTTGTAAGAAATTAAGGCAATGAGAGAGCGCCTTGGAAGAGTATTATTGCATTAATATATACATTATGGCAAACATATATAATATAAATATGAACTACTCACAAAATGAAGCAAAAACATAGCAAATCTAAAAAAAATATAAACATAAAACCATAGTTGAATATGCGTGTCCTCAATGACACAAATCACTAGAAGACCATTTAGAAAAAAATACTTTGGCTTCAATCTTGATTTTTAAAAGCTTGACTTACCTGCAATCAGCATCAGTAATTTCTCCATCTTGCCTTTGCTGACTCCCTGCGCGTTCTGTGTCAAGTAGCGTAGGGCGTTATATGTTATGTTGTCATAGCGGATGGTGTTATCTGTTGTATGTTATGTTGTCATAGCGCCCTCAAATGGGCATTCAAATGTTTAAAGACCGATTTTACGAAGAGACATGCCATCAGGTAAAAAGGGGACCGTTTTATCTAGAACCGGTACAAAAGTAACATGTCGGACTTTTGAAATGTATATTTACAAACAAAAAACGCTTACTTTTACGTGATATTTTTAGCTATTGAATATATGTAGATAATTTTTGTTCTGTTTGTTTTTATACTATGATAATGACGCAAGGCGTTAACGATCCTGGGTAACACCTATTTTACCGTATCTCTCGTTTTTATGATCAAGCTCATAAATGAGCGAATAGTTAAAAAATGATCGTCCGATCGCTCTTTTGTGTTACCAATGGTCACCCTTAATGGGTGAGGGGGTTACTCGAAGTCACGGCACGAATCGTTTGGTCTATAATACATACACTCTTAAACAATGTGTTTCTACTCGAAAGAGCAATGTGCCCACACATTTAATATTTTAGATATATTGCCTTAGTACAGAGCCAAGAGATTCCTTTTTATATTTCAGTTCATATGACCATAGTTTACGTCTAATCACCAATTACAAACCGTTATAATCGATAATGTCTGCACCTTTGCACAATGTGCTCGTACACGAAATACTAACATGCCATTCTTTTTAATGGATAGTAGATTCCTATCTCCTTTAACTATATTGGCACTACAAGGTCACGCAAACATGTTATTTCTCATCTGATATGAATGTTCTTGAATGGTTTCATCATGTTGTCCCTGAGTAAAGAGAATATTTTTTATACAAACAAGTCTTTTATTCAGCCAACGTTTCGATGACCCCGGGCAAAAAAAGCAGAAGTCCTTAGTTCACAGTTCAAAAGTGTTTTCACAGAGGCGTTTTCGTTGACCGGTAAAAAAGCAGAAGTACTCAGTTCAGAGAAAAGTGCTTTCAAAGAGGAAGAAACCACAGATATGGTCAGCCCTGTAATCCTCCAATGGAACATAAAGGAGTCCTCCTCACACATGTAGGGTTTCTTACCAGTGTGCACTACTAGATGATAGTCCAAACTGGATTTCTGTGCAGCAGAATAGTCACACTGGTCACGCTTGTAGGGTTTTTCTCCTGTTTTGGTTCTCATATGGCCTTGGCTTTGGCGGAAATCTTCTTGCCTGGTTTAATTCATTTTTCACCTTCAATTGCCCATAATTCAAAATCAAAGTCATTCTTCGAAAATCCGTAAGACCCGATTCTGGACAGACCAGTTACCGTCATTTTGAGCCGTCAATTTAATATGTTGGGCTCTCCATGCTTCCAATCTTAGGAATAAATCTAGAGTTCTTCCTAAAACTCTGTTAGATACACTATTATCCCTGTTAACGCTGCTGTAAGGGAAATTAATTACATATCGGATAATATTTATCAGCATTCCTATCCAAATTGTTTTAAAGATGTTTAATGATTCTATGACTTGGTTGTTTACATACAGAATATATAATTCATACATGAATTCCAAATCATTTGCTTAAACCCTACAATCGATACCAACTTCGAAAACATGTTCCAGGAGAGGGTTGACGAAGTTTCTCTATGGGTAGAGGAAAAATGCTGTAAAATGGAATTTTACATTGAAAATTAACTCTTCTAAGTCTGAGACAAATTCCTTATAGCTAATAGTTTGTTCGAAATGTCATGTCAATCTTACGAAGAAGGATAATCGATACTACTGTAACGTTAAATGATATCTTTTACACATCCATGCAAAAAATTAATATGATTATATAAGACAAATATATACAGCTTCTGACAGTGTCCTCTGGCAATACAGTATATTAATATTTTATGTATAGCTATTTAGTTGTCCAATGAAACTGTCTGCGATAAACTTATACTTAATATTGTCTGTCTTAGAATATGTAAATTGTTATTATCGTTTAATGTAATTGACATGTAGTCTAACAGCATTTTCAGAGCTTAGTAGTAGTTAATAACGCATCTTATTTGTTACGTTATTTTTGTTGTGCTATAAACCTTGACTTGACCAAATACAGGAATGCGCTGAAGCAATATGCAAATGGCAATTCTACGTTGTACAAATGACCCTTAATGGCCCTTGAACTAGTCAAATGTGTTTATACCTAATTTCAATTTAACCTATTTGAGTTACAGTAACCAGAATCTTAATTACTTAAGAAGTTTTTTTGTATTTTCTTCTTTTTATAATGTAACTTTTTCAGCACCGATATAATACGGCTATCATTGATATTCATTGCACTAGTGGCATATTTTTTGTACATGGAAAAAGATGCTAGCGTGAGACATTTCTAACCTACAAGGAAGCAGTGAATCAGCAGTAACATGTCTGATTATTGAAGATATGTATGACTATCCGCTTGTCTAATGGTGTGGCTATAACATTCTACATCATTTGCTGTGATTATCTATAATTTACCAGTTTTCTTTGTGGTGTAAAATCCATAATTATATAAGTTGAGATGTTTCATACTAGCCTGGCCATTTGAATATCTGGAATGATCACCTCTTCCCCATCCCCATGGTTATGAATACAATTCTGCTTTCCCCTAGATAAGGCATATGTCAGCTTACTCCAGAACTGGGCTTCTCCCCACACCAGACATTCATTTGTATTCAAAAAGAATCGCAGATCTTTATCTACCTTATGCAGTGTTTCATCTGATATGGCGATAGCCACAATCCTAGGCTGCTTGTCCTTTAACATTTGTAGATGTGCTGCTTTAAATGCCAGGGCGCACCATTCACTGTCCACAAAACTTTGTGAGAGGATGATGATGGTATGACGACTGGCCTCAACCGACTCTAAGATAGTGGTTGCTATGCACGCCCCTGCAGGAAAATCACGGTAGTCCAGGCAAAGCTCAAAACCTCGCTCTTCCAATCCGGGTGCCAGCTCACGTACAACAAGATTTATATCTTCGATACTGTACGAGATAAAAGCATCGTAAGTTTTACCAGTGTTGTCCGCTCTCCAACAAGGACACCAGTGGCATTTTGTGTATAGCACTGCCTGTATGTATGTCCGGTACCGATACAGCACTAACAGTGCCGTCGCCAGAATGATGCCCGCAGGAATGGCAAATAACATGTGACTGTCTCCTTGATCCTGCTGGCAATGCTCTGATACGGTATGTGCATTGCAGTTAAGTGTATCATTACTGCAAGAAATGGAGAAGTTAAAGCTAACAGATTGCACATTTGATCCTATGCAAATCTGAGGCTTCAGCACGTTACAACCGCACCTAAATGACCCGAAGATGACTCCTTGTAAATTTACAAAGGTCAAACTCATTAACCCTTGGAAAGTGTTCACAGGCAGGTGTCTAATGTCATTACCTTGCAGGTAAATCTCCTCGACACTTCTCAGAGGTGCAAAACTTGACGAATGTAAGACAGACAAACCAGAGTTATTCAGAAAGAGCTGTCTAAGGGAGCTAAGGCCATTGAAAACCCCCTGCCTGATGGAAGATATGTTATTTCCGTCTAGATGGAGGGTTTCCATATTTGTATTGTGTACAAACGTGTTGTCTGGCAGATCTGTGAGAGAGTTTTTTGAAAGATCTATCTGCTTGAGGTTGAGCAGGTTGCTAAAAGCATCTGCTGTGACAATTGCTATGACGTTATTGCTGAGATCGAGGACTTCCAGATTGACTAAGGGTGCAAATATGCTCCCGTTAAGGTTAGAAATCTGGTTGTTGCTTAAATTGACGTTGTGGAGGTTACTTTGGTTCTTAAAGATATCAGGGTCAATGAAACTTATGTTTTTGTTGGATAGGTCAAGTGTAACTTGTGTGGAACTCATGTTGTGGTTAAGGGTGTCGGTTGTAGCCACTGTTGAACTCATAATACGGTTAAAAAGGTCAGTTGTAGCCACCGTGGAACTCATGTTGTGGTAGGGTAGGTCAGTTGTAGCCACCGTGGAACTCATGTTGTGGTAGGGTAGGTCAGTTGTAGGCACCGTGGAACTCATGTTGTGGTAGGGTAGGTCAGTTGTAGGCACCGTGGAACTCATGTTGTGGTAGGGTAGGTCAGTTGTAGGCACTGCGGAGCTCATGTTGTGGTAGGGCTGCTCTGTTGTACCTACATACCCCAATGATGAAAACATGTTATTCCTTTCTTGTTTTTTGTCACACGTATTAGGAAAACACGTCAACAATAAAGGGAAAACCCTCAAGGGGACGAAAGCACGTATATTTTACAAAAAAGGCTATCTGATATCAAAAAAGACCATGATAGCAGATCTAGGTCAAAATATACAAATGGCCTAAGTACGAAGTCACCAGGAGGCACATAATTCAACAGCATCTCCAACCATCATATCAGGTATCATCAAAACCCTTACAGATATTCTTTCAAGCTGACTTATTATAATAACAGATATGTAGAAACACTTACATGCATGGAAGATAGAGGCGTTATTTTGCAAGAGGTCTAAAACTCTTGTGAAATAGCCAAACTTATCTATCTATTCAGTTATGACTGGTTTAATGTAGTATTACTAACGTTGATTACAAAACGCGCCGTCCCATTCCGCCAAACATGCGCAGATGTACAGTCCGGATTCCTCCGGTCCAGACATGAGAGTTCCTCCATTCTCACATGGTCTGAATGTTGATTCTGTTGGGCAAAGAGTTATGACAGATTCTTATAGTTACTATCCCTTTTCAACACATTTACGTCCCGTAGTAAGAGGTAGTAAGAAATATGAAATAATGACGCAAATATGTTATAAAGTGATGATAAATGTCGATAACACCCAGATTTGGTATAATTTTAACTTTCTTAAAGTCATTTGTTGTCTATTGTAATACTGATGGTAATCAGCTGCAGATTCTTGATTCTTCTAATTTAGTTTTCTCTTCCATGTTAGAGTGTGCGAAGCGCTAAGTAATGTTATGGACACGTACCGGGAAAATCAGTAGGTCTGATCATCATAGCCGTTTCCTTCAAGGAGTATCTGTCACCTAACCAAGTAGACCAGACAATTCCTTCTGCTGTAGGGCACACAGGAACAGGTACCGAGCAGCCTGTCAGATACTGTCCGTTCAGGAAGGCATAACCACAACGTGGGGGGTACCACCAGCCTCCTTGCCCGTATGTTCCTGCACAGTCGAAGTTGATACCATCGTTATCTTGGTCTATTGTGGAAAATTGTCTGTTGCTAATGCTCTCCGAATTAAACGGGTCCAAACTATCAGTTACAGTACTAGTCCCGCTATAACCACGGATCGCTGCCGTGTACTTGCTGCTGGCATCTCCTACAGAAAATGTGCTGTACCTCGCAAACCGGGTGTTCTTTTCCCAGTCTTCCAAATAAACGAACAGTTCGTTTCGTTTCCTTGTTGTCAGACTGTGGATCTTCCCCAATCCCAGCCAGTATTCTCCACTGGCATTACCGAAGCCCTGCTCGTAGTCAGTCCAAGTCCTGTTAAACGGCACGGACCCGTCCTTTCTGTACTGTATGGCCGTCCACCCACCGCCGTCAATGTCCGACATGTCACAGTAAGCTTTAAAAGGTTGGGGGTGGCCGATTGTGTAAGCTTGACTGTTTATCCGAATCCCAAGGGCAAACAGGTCAGTACAATCTTGGGGAGCCACAATGTCTGCAAACAATAAATAATTGTATTATAAGTTTATACAGCTAGGGTGCCATTCGATTTGCTTCGGGCTTATAACATGCACTTTCCATAGCCCATATCAAATCTATGGTAAGTAAATACTTCATGTTGCAAGTACTTGAAATTAGCCTACGGATACGAACGTGCAATAAACTTTCACCAATAAATTTGTGCTACGATTGTTGACCAGCTATAACATCTTTGGTCTAAGGAAATTTTATTGGTTGATCCGTTTGAACATCTCTGGTCTAAAGTATTTTCATTTCTTTTTTAGGGAAGGATAATGAAACGTGCCAAAATAAGCCATTAACAGTCTAGAATGCTATTCTGATTTAAATATTTAGATGGCATCCCCTTGCTTTGTACTAAGAAAAAAATTAAATTCACTGTGTTCGGCCACAAAACATGCCATGATTAATTGAAAAAAAAAGTAAGAAAAAAATTAAAGGAATTTTATACCTATTTGTTCTGAAGTTATGCTGACTACAAATGTGCGGAAACATACATACACACAGACAGACACAGACAAACAAGCCAAAAATAATACCTCAATTTGTCATGGAGGTAAAAATTAAAGGAAAATTCTAATCTCCAAGCAGATCTTTTGGTGGGGGTAAGACAGTATCAAATTGGCCAGTCTGTATCCATTCCCCCACCCAAGATCTGCCTCCAGTCGAAACGTCAAAGGCTATTAACACCTAGTTGTTGCCTGATCAAAATATTCTTGCCAAGTAGTTTATTGCCCTGACCACCACGCAAGGCTCTTGCCCTCCTAGTGGGCCAGCTGGTTGAGCATTACTCTCTATGGGTCCCCTCACTAACTGTTATTTTGTTCAGTTTAACTAAAGGAAAGAAGGTCCAACATATGTTTTGTAATATCTGCGGTTTTAAACCACAATTAGCCCAGTTATTGACATTTCTATGTTTCAGCCAGCATATTTTAGTACCAGCATACAGTATTATCTTGACAGGGTTAGGCGAGAACTCCCACTGAGATGTGCGCGGGTGACTGCATTTGTCCCAGATTCAAGCAATAAACCGCTTGTAAAAATCTTAGCACAACAAATTTTTGATAGTTGTTAATAGGGACACAAGGAGGGGCAGCAACACCATTTTTGAAAGGAAGTGCTCCTCCCTGTTCGAGTGCCGGCAGATCTTGGGTGGGGGAATGGATACAGACTGGCCAATTTGATACTGTCTTACCCCCACCAAAAGATCTGCTTGGAGATTAGGAAAATTCGTCCACTGTACCTCAATACCAAATTTCAGGTTATTTGTCCCCAAAATAAAGAAATTGAAACCATTTAAAAATATGTCTTCACCACACCACTTCTTCGTGTTGGTAAAGCCATAATAAACCTTTGTATTACATGCATACCACCCGCAACATCCTTTGGTTACGATATGGGGTAACGGAATTACAGTTTATTGAGTATGTATTATCAAAATTAAAAAGAATAGGGCATTGAAGCCCTTATCAAACAAAAGTATAAAGTTTGTAGTCACGTTTCCTCTGGTAGTAATTTCGGTAAGGCCAACTGTCCCACTCAGGACCAGGAGATGCCGCCGTGTCCTTGTCAGAACTACTGAGCCAACACCGTGCACTGCCGCCCTCTGGCGATCCGGCAGGGCGATGGTTGAAGGACAGACATGTCGGGGTTACGCCATCATAGCTGCCGTAACCTTGCAGACAGCGGCGCGCACACTCTTCAACATCTATGTTGCTGTATGACGCTATGTTGTGAGCAGAACTACCGAAGAAGCGACCTTCCTCCTTGGTGAAGAGATCTTCGTAGGAGACAGTATCTAGAATAGAAATGGTACGAGGGTGGATCAAAAAGTTCTCGGCCTCACCTAGAAAACGTCGTGGCAGAAAAAAATTTCTTACACTATGTTTCAACATAGTCCCCTCTAACTGCAATGCACTTGGTCCAGTGATGTTCCGGGTTTGTTTTCCCCTTGTGGAAGAAGGTTGAATCTGGAGCCCCCAGATAGGGCTCACCCGCACTGATGACGTCATCATTACCATAAAAACGTTGACCACGTAAGTGGAACTTCAGTTTAGGAAATAGGTAGAAGTCCGAGGGTGCTAGGTCAGGTGAATTGGAAGGGTGGGGTTAGACTTCAAAGCCAAATTCGTTTGCTGCTGTCACTGACCCCTGTGCTGTGTGGACAGGTGCATTGTCATCACGCCAGCTCGGTGCTTTCCTCTCCTTTTCTCTTTGATCGTTGTCCTCAACTGTTGCTATTCTGTTAAATAGTACTCCCCATTGATGTTTTAACCTATTCACAGGTATTCAGTCATGATTACTCCCTTGTTGTACCAGAAAACAGAGACAAAACCCCTGTCAACGGATGAAACTCGATAAAACTTCTTGGGGGCCGGGAAACATTCTTCATTCATTGTTTGTTCTGTTGTTTTGATTTGGGGTGAAAGTGGTGAAACCACGTCTCATCTTGGGTGAAAAATGTTTTGAGGTAATTGCATGGATTGGACTGAATTCGTTCCTTGAAATGTCCAGCTTGTTTAACTTCTGATGTTCAGAAAACATTCTAGGCACCCACCTTACAGACAGGTTGCTCATCCCCAGGATGTCTGACAAAACATTGTGAACAGAGCCACAACACAGGCTAAAGACTCTGCTACATGTTGGACAGTCTCACATCTGTCATTTACTACCATGTGATGGATGGCCTCAACTGGATTGTCCATGGTGCTGATTTGTGGCATCCTGACATATGTTCATCTTTGGTGCTCACCCTGCAGCGCTTGTAGCTAGCAACCCACTTCTTTATATTTTAATAAGAAGGGGAGTCATCACCAAGTGTCCTAACCATGTGTTCATGGATTTCCTTACGAGAAATCCCTTTTTATCGATATACATGATCACAGCACACGCTTCTGTTGCGGCCATTTTGTGATTTTGCCCTCACCCACCCCATTTTCACGGGGCGTCACGTGCTAACTAATGAATATAGAAATTTGAATTTTTGTGTGCAGTGATGTAAGACATCATAGTATACAGTTATACTAAAGAATAGGAGTTTGCCCTTTATTTTCTAGGTGAGGCCGAGAACTTTTTGATCCACCCTCGTATACTGTAAATCGTTCAATACCAACAGATTAGTGTTTGCACATGTAGCCACAGAAGTTATGAAAAGCACGTGCATGTGAATTTGATTTCATACGAACGTCGAATGGTAGTAACGCTTAATGTGTTTCAATACCTTTACGGATATGACACGAGTCCCCAGTCCATAGGTCCAGACAGCCCCCAGTACAGGCGCCAGTGCTCTGGTCACAGGCAGCTGGTCCGTTTGCACAGTGACAAAGGTGGGTGCAGGCAAACCCATATCTACCTGCTGGGCACACTGAAAAGTCGGCAATTTTTAGGTCAGGTCTTCTAAACCTGGAACCATCCATTTGAAGGAATAAAGCGTACAGTTACGTTAGTTCATTTAAATGTATTCTTGGTATGGGAGCAAAACTCTTTTGAAGACTTGAAACCCTTAGCAAACCTTAAAATCCTACTCTGCACAGTTTTGTTGCTTTGCGCTTTACTGCAATATCCTATTTATGTAGTTTTGGTTAAAGAATCACATAGATGACAACATAATGACATCAAACAACGTTATTATGGTACCAAATATGTTTTGATTTAAGTTAAGTAGTACATCACCCTCTTTAAATCACACAAAAAATTACAAATAGGGTAATTAAAAAATGGTAAAGTATTAGGAACAAAAACGTTGTGCGAAAAATTCTCAAAACACTTGCCAGAATTCCTTAATATTTTATTTCTGTTTCTCTTTTTTATTTCAGTCCATGCTATAGAATAACCTGAAATATTGCTTTTTCTAATGTTTCTTCATCTCATCCTTGCTCATGCAATTTCTTTAAATGTGTTTAACTTCTTTTTTTTTACCAAAAGACATGGAATTTGGTATAAAGGTAGAGTGGGCCAATACTCTTAGGCTTTTTCTTCATTTTTTCATAGATGCTTTTATAGTTGTTTTATTGGTTCTTTTAACCATTATCTGACAAAATCTGTGGATTAGGCGTCCTGGAGACCTACTGTTACAACCAAATTATTTAAAAGTTGGTATGGGTATGCTGTATATATCTAACAACAACCATTATAATTTGTGCCATACACACCTTTAAAATGGTAAATTTAGGGTTTTTTTTTACAGTTTTCAGGTCAAAATGTACTTTATAGTGGTAGGTGATTAATTAGAATTCAATGCAGAGCAAAAACCAATAGACATGTAGCTTTCCTCTATTCTTTTTGCTGATTGGCAGTTGGGATTTAATCGGGTTAACTGCATTAACACCTGCACCAAGCTATAACATATTGACAGTATGTAGGTCAAACTTTCCTGCTTTTAAAAACATTGGAATGCGGGACATAATGTTTTTTTTTAAATCCTGAAAATCAACAGTTTGCGTTATGCAAATAAAAATCCTTACAAATAATGTAATGGATAGCTATCCAACTGTTGTATTTTTAGTTATATGTCACTTCATACAATAGTTATCATAATGTAAAACATTGCTTTTCCTTGTGTTTCTCCCTCTTCCCCTGCTATTTCGTAAAATGGATTTAATTTTGGGTGCCATGCTACCTGACATTTGCAATCTCAAAGTAGATACAGGGTAGCATGGTAAGGTAACCTTCAAACTGATACACGGTAGCTTGGCCTTCAAGCTGATATATGGCGGCAAGGATACAAAATGTCAAAAATACCCGAACAAAAATTGGACGACTAATAACAGGGTGATCCTTGAAAGCACTGAAAAGCACGGTTTTGGGGTTTAGAGCCCTATATGGGCGTTCTGAAAACTCCTAATATTAAAAAGCACTACTAAAGGGCTTTGAGAATACTTGATACTGAATATCCTCGTATTGGGAACTATTAATAAAAAACACTGCGTGTTTCGTGAACGATTGTCATTAAAATCGCTGTATGGGTATGGAGGACTACATGACGGTATGAAAAGACTTGCTATTGGGGAGCACTACATGGATATAACCCTATCTAGACCGGGCTTTTTTGGGGGATTCGTGGGAGGGGGAGGGGCTAAAAAAACTCTGAACGGTATATCGTATGAAGACCAACTTTTCAGAGGATGGTGTGCTAGTGAAAATACATACCAAAACAAAAATTTGGATTTCGTTATGATGTAATATGACGTCATTAATGTGATTTTATTGGTCAAAACCATCTAGATAGTTTATTCTCTTGAAACTTAATGGTATACAACATAACTTTAACAAAACGTGTCTACGATAGAATATTAGGGTCTACTAAGAATTATGTCAACCATAGTCACGCTGGTGACGTCATAAAATGGCGCCATTAAAAATTAAGCTATGCGCCATCTTGGATTGTCCATGTTGAATTAAAAAAAAATTAAGATAAAGCCTAAAAATCAATTCAGAATAGACTAAAGACGTTCATATGAACCTCTTTGTAAAATTAAATCAAAGTAGTGATGAAATATTAAGGAAAAATTTCCTTTATACACCTGATCTAATTATATTGTCCGCCATTTTAATAATAAATATTACATAGAATTACATTACATGCTATTGATATTAGAAAGCATAAAGCCCATACAATCTATTGTTAGGCCACACCAATTTAATTTGTTGGTTCTCGGATTTTTTCAGAAAAAATATGAAGCGACAGGGCGAAAAAAAATAAAAATAAAAACAGGCCTAGGCATCCTATTATAGGCTTAAATGCTACAAAATGAGCCATGAAGTCAACACAAAAGGCTGGGTTGAAATTTAAACATTGAATTTTGAACTTTTTAATCAAACCACTGCAATGATAGATAAGGAAAACTGTAACAACTAGGAAAGAAAAGGACTTTCCTCAACTGTTGGGGGGCAAAATATGAGCATTTTTCAGTTGATTCAGGAGCAGAATCAATTTTTTTTTTTTTTGCAAATCAAAAAAAAACGAAGAGGCGAATCCGAGAACCAACAAATTAAATTGGTGTGGCCTTAAAACGAAAATTGCTAAATTTCGAAAAAAAGCCTGTAAGAAACCCGTTGCCATGGCAACACTAAAATCATTAACTTACTACACTCATAAAAATGGTTGCCAACTATATTTTAGGAAAAGTCTCCAAGTTCGGCGCAAGCCATTCAGACGCTATCCGTCATCAAAGTTGGCACGGGCACTTTAAGCCCCCCTCCCCGATCTAAATAGGGTTAATTTTGGAACAGTCTATTTTGAAATGAGAGTATGGAGTTCAATATGCTATGTTTGCTTCCTACCAAATATTTGCCTTTCTAACCTTCCTTTCTGGCCATTTTCTATATATATATGTATAAGACATGCATGGTTCCGGTCCAGGGTTGCAAAAAAGGCTCTAGATACTAACAATCAACACCCAAGTCGACGTTTTTGAATCCTCGACTGCGATCAGTAGATAACGGGCAATTGCCAAGACATGCAAAACGATGGTACCGCCCAGTATAAGCATTGTAGACGTCAATCTGGAAAAAAAAGGAATGATTGATATTAATTAAACAGTTATCAAAAACCTTTAAAAAGTTTCAGAGTAAATATACATATAAGTGGAGTGAATTCTTTTACATATACACAAGTGAACTCAATATTTATTATAGTTTATTATTTCAGTCCGTACTGTATTGTTTTATTCATATTTCTTCTACTCCTCCTTCTTCTCCTTCCATTTCTTCAAATGGATTCAATTTTTAAAACAAATGACCTGAAAAGTGGCATAAGGGTAGAGTGGATCAGTACCCACAGGTACTTTTTTTTAATCTTTTTTTCTTAATAAAGGCTTTTAAAATTGTTTTTTTGGCAACAAAATCTGTACATTTTGGATCCTGGGAACCTAGTATTACACCTAAATGATCTGAAATTCAGTATGAGTGGTCTTTCATATATCTCTCAACAATTTATTATAATTGTTTTTTAAAATACATCCCATGGAAATTGTATAATTTGGCACTTTGACTATTTTCAATGCCAAAGTTACTCTGTAGTGTGTTGTGACTCAGCAGAATGGAATGCATAGCAGCAGCCAATGGGCTCGCACGTTTTGAGATGGTTATGAGCTTGTAATCTTCTTGCTGATTAGTTGTGGGGCTGTAATTGTGTTAACTCATTTTGCACTGCACCAGCTCCAACATATTAATAGTATGAACTGTATTAAATTTTCTAATAGGTATGTCACACTTTCTTGCTCAAGCATTGGAATTGAATTTTTTTCCCCTCGTGAAAATTAACAGTTAAGAATTAGCATTATGCAAATAGAAATCTTGACGTAATTACCAATGATGTATGGGATTTTAGCTATCAAACTGGTCTATATGGGAATTTTGGAAACTCCTCAAATAAATGTACTTCAGGAGGGCTTTGCGAATACTTGTTACTGAAAAGCATTGTATGCGGTTTTTACTGAAAACACACGTATGAGGGCTTCGTCAGCAACTGTTACTAAAAAAGAACCTGTATGATCATTGAGGAATACATGGCGGTATGGAAACATGAAATATTAAAGAGCACTATATGGAATTTAATCTTGAACGTTTTTTTTGGACTGAGAGTATGGGCTGAAATATGCTGTATTTGCTCCCGAGCAAATATCTGCCTTTCCAGTTGTATCATAACTTACCCAGTCTAGGTTGAGGGTGTCGGTTCCTGAAATGTTAAGTCGGAGCAGCGTAGGATCACCAAAGTCGGAGGCGTTAAAGGCTCGATTGTACTGGGTTCTTTGATGTTGATCATGTAGGAAAAGGCAACAATGGATTGATAAAACGTTCACTACTTTGCAAGGTGGCAGCTCTACATTCCAACGTCACTATGTCCCGACAGCCCGGGCATACATTTAGATATAGTATAAAGATTGTTGGTATGATTTTGGCAGTGTCTTTTTAGATTTTAGGTTTTCTAGTTGCTTTACTAGGTTCAGCGGCGGAGTTACGTCTATGGTATTCTGTATTTTGAACATTCTACGGTCATGATGTTTAAGTTATGAATAGCGCTTGTGCTTGAAAAGAAATGACATGTGTTTGAGTCTCATGCATGTAGCTTGTTGTGGGACTGCTGTATCGTTTTTGAAAAGAATTTTGGAGAATTTGGGATATGTAGGAAGCTTAATATAGACATATGCACAATGGTTATATGTTTTTGGGAAAGGAAGATATATAAGTTTGCATAAGTATTGAAAAATTATATAATTTCAATACTTTCCATTACAGGACTCTCCCAAACATAAAACACATGTAATATATGACAGATAAAGCATCATCAAATACAATTGTGAATCTAAGGGCATAAAAACGTGGTAAATTGTGCTTGTCATTTGTATAAAATCTAAAAAGCTATAATTTTTCCAAAAGGGTCAGTGCTTACCCAGGTGCTGTAAGTCCGGATACCGTCGTTGTCGCACAGACATCAACACAAACGTCAGATACGATTCCCACTGTTATTGAATCGGTAGTCCCAGAATTTACACCCGCATTTGTTTTTAACGTCAGCCTGTTACCTGTTTGATAAATGAACACGATAACTTTTCGGTCAGTATATAAACTAGGTGAAAAAAGACTACCTTCCAGTTACATGTAAAACCTATAGTGTATGTGCAAGGGAACCCTTAACACGCACAGAAGATGTAGCTTACTACCAAATTGAGAGTATCATAAGTGTTTTATGTCAGCAATTTTGACAAAGATGAATATAAGTCACAGTATTACTATGCAATACACTGAGAGGGTATAAAACATGGTAGGACGTACGACCTTACAATGCGTACAAACCACGTAAACGCATTCAATTTACTTACTTGGTTTCCTGTAATCGACACAATTCTGACAGTCACAGAAGGCTGCTGTGTGGCCGCACCAGTGGTACTCAGAGCAGCAAGGGTTACTGTCAATTGGGCATTCGGCTGGGTTGCCGTTTGCTGCAAGGTAGCCCTGTCCACAGCGATTATCGGTGCGGAACTTCGTAGATGCTTCATGAAGTGGATGAAAAAAGTATCAGTTTGGCATCATTCAGAAAATAATACAGAGGAAAACTATAGAGGCCGCATTTGCTATGGAGCAAATACAATATATTCCAGACATATCCTTCCACAAAACGGACTCACACCTGTGAAGAAATAGAAGAAATTTACTTTTGCCAAAAGTGAGATATTTGCCAAGTCATTCAAGTTTAAATGGAGCCTTCCTAACTTGACACCGATAAAAAAAGGTTCCTTCCACTAGGGAAGAATCCTCCATCGGCCCCATGTCCGAAAACATTTCGGCAAAAGTACGTGTATACATTTTGTGTAATCAGCTCTATAAAATACTCAATTTTAATGTGTTGATTATTGTCTTATGTGTCATTTGCGGCATGAATATGCATGTGCTGAGTCTAAAGCTTGAGTTTGTTGTCGCCATTTTTTGTCAATAAATGTTGCAATAAAAAATCCCAATAACCTTTAAAAAATAATAAGTTATTATAGCAAGCACACTTAGCGGCTACGTTTGAGAGTCACTTCTGCGCTGCAAGTGTACGGCCGCATCACTCAATACCCTGCAGGACTGCGTAATCTTTTAACATTTTGTTTAGGATATGAGAAATCAATACAAACAGGGCCTGGATGATCATGAGATTGGGAACATAGTATTATGTAAAAATGTAAAATGCGTGTGGAATACGATTATCACCTTGGTCACATTAAAATCACATTGCGTTCAGACGCAAATCGCGATGCGGGAAAACTGATACGAAACCACCTCTAGAAGTGGTTTGGGATCGAGGCGCTTTCAATGTGATTTGGAGCGTCAGATGGGGCCACTTGAAACCGGACACGGGGGAAACCACATGTAAAAGTTCCTTCACTGACTTCATATGAACAGGGCCCTAGTCTTTGGAAGCATCGTTGCATGTGACAGCATGCTATTCAAATGCAAATTCCCCTAAAAGGTGAGTCAAGAAATGTTTTCAAAGACGTGCCTCGGGCGTGAAGACTTGGAAAGGCGACACAATGGCCACGGCGTGCCAAGCATTTCAGCCTCCTTGGTACCACAGAGTGCAAAACTACTATTGACTAAATGACTAAGTATTTATTTCCTTAAACACAATCCATGGTTTACACGAGGCATCCGGAAATGTTACAAAGGCAGGGGAATGGTCTTTGGCCGTAGTACTGTATCTGATCTCTATGATAGCAAATACACCTACATGTAGACCAGTATCACATGTCACATTTTGAAAACAAACCGGTTACTTAGGGACTGTACGATATTTACCAGGGGGAGGGCTGGTGTGTAGGGGGGAGTGCCATGGAAAAAGTCACTTAGGGGGAGGGCCATGGAAACAAGGGTTTAGGGATCGCACAAGGAGCGCTGCTGCACAAATCAGTCTGCCATTGTGTTGCACATGTAACATTTTCAGATTGTTTTGAGCAATTTGACGGAATCATGCTTTCCGCTCATGGCGGACAAAAAAAATTGTCCCAATCTGTAATCCTTGACGCCCAAAAATCGGCGTGTAATGATATAGGTAGAGCTTTGAAATTTGCATGTATTTTAAGAAAATCAGCGGGAGTTTGCGGCGGAGGCGGTTAAGATAATTTATATCGCGCGCCTCAGGGTGCGCCTCATGCGGGAAAGACGACGACCCAAGTTGCAAGCGTTCGGGCTAAAATACTCTAGGGCATGGCAGTGCGGGACGGTACGCTAAAACTTGAAAGGCGTCCGACGTCACATAAAGGCATTAGCTACATGTCAAGTTTTATTGACAGTACGGCCATATTCGTACATTGCTGTTAGAATACGACTACACTTCATTTTGTAATTGTTGCATATTGTACTCGTGAACTGAGATCAAGGCAATCAGAAGATTGGTAGACAGAGGGATAGTAACGCTACACTCGAAGCGGCGAAGGGCGATTTAAGCACAGGCGTGCCGGACCAAACGCACAATAGGTGATGTTTTTCAAGTGTTAACTATTTTATCTGTTTGCCGTATTTGTTTAGAAATATCAATTTTTGTTAAGCGTTTAATAAAAAACTGTTACGTACCTTGCTTAGATAAACTGATGAAGTGTGTGGTTTTCATCGGTAGTTTCTCTCATCGGAGACGGTAGGAAATGCTAGGAAAGTTTGAACTTTGAAGGTGACGTATCTAAGTAAGACCCATGCTGGACCGGTGAAGAAAATGTTTTATTTTTGCCGATTTTTGTCACCGTTATTCTGTGTATATGCTTGTGTATATTTCTCGTAGGACGTGGATTCCTACTAAAAGATTTGTTGTGCTAAACTCACGGCTGTGAGTTGCTAGGCTAAAAGTCACATTACTAGGGAGGTATCGCGCTACAGAACGCGTTAGAATACATACATACACACATACATAATCGCATTCTTAATAAGTTACATAATTAACATAGTTTATCTTCCACTATTCTCTGTCACGCATCGTTTCTAACAATTCTTTTCCTCTTAAACCAGTCTCTAACTGTAGAATTTCGAATTCCTTTAGTGTAGAGTATGGACGACCTCTATTCCTTTTGGCTTCTTGAGATCAGAGAAGCAATTTACCGCCTGGTTAACCAGGTCGAGAAATATGACCGGCTAGACGTAGTCTACGGCACTTGACTTCTTTAGAAATTTATGAGAGTGTCCCGTAGAGTTGTTTATTTCCACCAAGGTTTGTTGTGTATGAACCGCGTAGCATCTTGGTGTAGATAGGTGCCATCCAGTTTCCTAGCAGGCGAGAGTTCATAATCCACGACTCGCAGCCGAGTAACAAGATTTAAACAACAAGATTGTTCCATGAAACCCTAACTAAAAGTGTGTATGATAGAATAACAGGGTCTGCTTAGACTTCGCAACAACAGTGACAACATGACGTTCCAAGCGTTTAAAATTAAGACGATGAAATAAAAAAAACTCAAAAGAACCCCCCCCGTCCAAAAATAGAGGAACATGTACAGCCTGTAGTGACCATGTGTTCTTCAGCTGAGTCAGCAATGTGTCCTGTGTCGTAAAGACTAATACGACTAATACGACTTAGGCACCTTGAGTTACACCTAAGAGAGAGAGGGAGAGAGCCTCAGAGAGGCTTGGAGAGGCAGAGACATAGAAACAAAAAAGCACAAGTCGACTAGAATCCTTTACCAAAAGGCAACCTATGGTTGTTTCTAGGTAAAATGTTAACGAGCTGGGTAGGTAGGAATAGTGATGTAAGTTGAATACTCAGCGATGCGATGTACAGCACATTTTACTGGGAAGGGAGGCGCTACACACTGCGACTTTCCATGAGAAATCAAAAAACCGCACTCACCTGTTATAACTGGTGGAAATATAAGGCAGACCAGGACAAAGACAGCATGCAGCCAGTGGCGCTCACATGTACGGCGTACCGCAGTCTCTATGGCAATTTTGGTGCCCATATTAACGTCTTTAACGTGGGATTTCCTAAATTAGTACACTTGTGTGGCGGAGACTTGTCCGAAGCTATTTCCTCCTGCGTCACAAGAGGTGTTATTGTTTATTTTGCAGTCGGTGCAGTTGGTGTTACCGTGCACTTTCAAGCATAGCTGAATGCTAAGTAGCGTTTTTCTCATTGTTGACCTACCAGGGTCATGTTTACAGTCCACTCGCCGACAGTAAGTCTGTCTTGCTCAACGCAGATTCTACTCAAGCAACTGGAGATGATTTTAGAAACGGTCAGGCGTATCAGGTAGCATCCACTAGTACTGACGAAAGGTAGTGTATGCTACCTAAAACGTCTGACCTTTGTTTTGCGTATATTATTTCCTGGATGTCTAACATTCACTGACGTTCTGTGATGAACCTTTCTTGCAATTATTTTTCCCTCTTCTTACATTTCTTACCTTTAAACTCCGTCGGGTTTTACGGCTTTTTTAAAAATAAGAGATAGCGGGTCCTGATAGAATTCTTAAGTTGCGTTTTTATCTTTTCGCACCTACAACTCATGGTCTCACAGTTAGTTACTGAGTTTTCAAAGAAACATGATTAATTGGGGCATTTTCGCAGCATTTTCAAGTAATGTAGTAAAATAATCCGACCCCCCCCCGTGTTCTAAGTGGTATTGTCACCATCTGGTGACAACAGGAGTTAAGCAGCACTTTGCTAGCGGGCTATACCACACTACTTACAGGAAGGGGGGCTATACTGCATTATTTGTACCAGGCGTCTTTTTAGTAGCTAAACTGGTAACAGTACTGTTAATGAGATGTATGGAATTGCCAGCAATTGTTGTGAACGTTATCAAAATATACTTCCCGCAAGTTTGGAATCTCAGTCAAGTTTGGAACAGTCTGTTGTTACTGTTCTTATAAGTTAGTTGATAGCCATCTTTAAGAACGGCTGCCAATAACAAAACCGCTGATCCCTATCGGGGACACGGAAATGGCAGGGGCTGGTGACAGCAAGTAGAATGTTCCCGTATTTTCATGCTATCAATACATCATTGCTTAGAGAATTCTTACAATTATCATTATAAACAGCCTCGATGAGCTACGCAGTTTCGCCTTAAAATACATAAATATAATGTCCAAGAGGAAGGATTAATTTTTTGCCACTGTAACGGTACTACTAAGTAACCACAGTGTATGTTATTACTTATTTCCTCCCTCATATGGCTATTGATATATTGCTACGTTACCCCGTGTTTTTGTGCGTTCAGCACGAATGTTTGCTAGTTATATATTGAATATAACATGCCTTATCTTGCTGTCAAAGCTAATAGAATGTGCGTGCCATCACAGTTAAACAGTAGAACAGGTTCTGTTGACGGTGCTTTAGGCTACACTCTAGCTAAGGTGTCACGTCAGGGGGAAAGAATGCTCAAAGGATCAAACATCTGTTCTGGTGTTATTACCTTCGCCAAGAAGGTTATGTTTTCAGGGGCGTTCGTGTGTGTGTCTGTCTGTAAACACGATAACTTGAGTAGGTCTTGATGGATTGTCTTGATACTTGGTAGGTGGGTAGGGCTTGATGAGACCTCAAAATGATTAGATTTTGGGCCCCCTGGCGGCTTGTCATGGTACTGCAGCAGAACTTCCGGTTTTGATATCTCATGATCCAGACATGCTAGGGTGACGAAATTTAAATGGTAGATAGCTCTTGTGCTGGGGATTAAGTCACATAAGTTTGAGCCCCCTAGTTGCTTGCTCTAGAACTGCAGGGGGGGTTTAATGGACAAATGTTTAAAGGGGGATAACTCAAGAACCGATTGATGGATCATCGTGATTTTTGGTATGTAGGTAGCTTGAGTGATGCTTGACATAATGATATTACAATTATGGAAATATGGATGTAATTTGCATAATTAATGAGGAAATTCTATTTATCAGCTGCATTCCATACTAGGAAGTTCAAGCTTGTGACATATGTTATTAAGAATGAGAGAAACACAGGCAGATATCAATTATGCAAATGAAGACTTAATTTGCATAATTAATGAGAAAATATTATAATTGCATAGTGGTAACTGCCTGGAATTTTATACTTGGGGTGTTTGAAAGTTAAGTTAAGGTGAACATAATTAAACATAACTTATTCAAATAAGGACCTCATTTGCATAATTTATGAGAAAATGTCATGGCATTCTTTGTTAAGATAAGACTGTCTTTTGGTGGAGAAAAGATCAACAGATATAATTCATGCAATTGATGATCCTATTTGCATAATTAGGGGGATTAATATATAATTTCTTAATCATAAAAGCTAACATCATTTGGCGAAGGTATGAGATCGTGGAACTCTAGTTTACATGTACCTTTAAAAACCAAGTAACCATTCTTCCTTCAAATATATCCGTACTTTTTATGAATTTGTCACAGATTCTGTGCATGTATTTTCCTACTGGATCACAGAAGATTCCAGACCTGCATGTACAAAGAAGCTGTAAACAGGAAATAAGATAACGTTTTTTGGGAACTTTCTACGAAATTTGAGCTAAAGTTGTATCTGCATCTTTGACTTGCCTACTATAGGAAATTTTTGCCGGCGCGTGCCACGGTGTTTGGTAGATTCGATGGTTGAAAGCGATTCAGAAGCAATTTAAACTGAGTGCTATAACATAGTTTAGTCTTTGTGGTTTTCGATAAATACAGCACTAAAATAAGATGGCTTCACAATGAATTCACATTCATATTGTCATATACATACGAGTAGCGCAGTGCATTAAGTTGCCAAAACTCCCTCCGTGGCTAAGTTCCTTCCACGACTAACTCCCTTCTGGGCAAATGTAGAGGGATAACGGTACACCCTCATAGCGTCACCAAATGAGGTACTTTGTAAAGGTCCGTTTCATTTGGTATATATTACCATTGTGACAGCATTTTATACCCCAAAATAGGAATCTTGCGTCTTGTTTTAGGTCCCGATAGTAGAAAGAATGCAGTGTACATGTATTCAGATGGCCGCCGTGTAACGTTACGTACTAGCGAGCGCGCACGACAATACCGCCAGAGTAGAGTAGGTTATCATAACCCTTTAGATAGCGCAAAGAAAACAAAAACAACAGATTTGCATTAAAGAAAGTTTATTTTCCATTGCCTGGGATAAGCCACGATCTATAACCTATGGCTTCTCCACGGGCGCTGGGGACGAGCGTGATTATAGCCTACATGTACGTAACATGATATCTAATGTAAACATCACCAGAAAACCTGGTTATACCTGGCCCAGTTTTTTTTTAAATTCCAATCAATGCTCACATTGGCATTGATAATAAAGTATACATCATTATGTGATATTCAATATTTCGTTTTTGTCGGCAAGTAAATGTGATTAACAAATTAAAAAAACTACATTATTTAAGTGGCAGGTAAAAAATTGAACAGAATTTTCCTGTCAGAAAACTAGTATAATACTATTATATAATTTTTGTGAAATGAATGTTGTAAAAATTAGTTTCAGTGGTTTCTAATATAGTTTTTATTCATACGGTAGCCGAGAACGATACAATGCAATAAAGGACTACAGAAATATTGATGCAAACGGCGTATTAATATGGTATACGTTAAACATAGAATTTTCGTTAGAATATGGCCAAACCTTAACATTATCACCATATCTTCATTCTGCCCCTTACAAAAATGAAAACAGGGGAACAGTCAACACGACGCTTACTGGTAAAACCTGCCAGATGTGGGCGAGCCAAAAACCACACCACAGCCTTTACAACACCCCGTACAGGCTACCTCAAGCTGGACTTACGAAGAACTTTTGCCGGACTCCTGATGCTGATCGCTGCCCCTGCATGGTGCTACACCGTGGACCCAAAAACAAGATGGGAGTACTGCTTCGTCTGCGGTAAGTATTAAAATTAAATGCCACACAGATTGCAAAAAAAGAATTGCCACAATAAGGAATCCATACATTTATTACCTCCATGAAATGTGTCATGGAGGTTATATTTTCAGTTGCGTTTATCTGTCCGTCCGTCTGTCTGTTGGTCAACAAGATAACTCAAGAACGCCTGGATGGATGGGTTTCATACTTGGTGTGTTGGTAGGGTGTGACAAAAACTGGAAATGATGAGATTTTGGTCCCCCTAGTGGCTTCCCTTGGTACTGCAGCGCAACTTCCGGTTTTGATACCTCACGATCTGGACATGCTAGGGTCATGAAATTTTGATGGAAGGTAGCTCTCGTGCTTGGAAAGAAGTCATATGAGTTTGGGCCCCCTAGCGGCTTGTTCTGGAACTGCAGGGCACTTTCTAGGGAAATGTTTAAAAGCCAATAAGTCCAGACAGGAACAACATATTTTCATTATTTTTGGTGTGTAGGTAGCTGAGAGAGAGATGTACATAATTAAATGCAAATTATGCAAATGAGGACTGTATTTGCAAAATTAATGAGGGAATTCTATAATTACAGTGTTTTACATTATCTCGCGATCTGGACATGCTAGGGTCATGAAATTTGACACCAGAAATCATTATTTTTGGTGTGTAGGTAGCTAAGAGAGAGATGTACATAATTAAATGTAAGTTATGCAAATGAGGACTTTATTTGCGTAATTAATGAGGAAATTCTATAATTACAGTGTTTTACATTATACTATGTAACCTATGGCAGGCGGAACTTCAACAGATACTAATTATGCAAATGATGACCTAATTTGCATAATTAATGTGAAAATTCTATGATTTCGTAATGGTGAATGATGAGAATGTCATACTTGGGACATCTGTAAGTTAATCAAAAGTTAACATACATCACGATGCATATATTATGTTAATGCAGAGGTCATTTGAAAAATTAAAGAAGAAATATACATTTACATATCAAGATCATATTTCATGGAGGTATGATGTCTCGGAATTCTAGTTGTTCAGTAAATTTTTGCCTTCATAAAAAGCAGTTTGCTATCTGCAATACAAGTTTACATCAAACTTATTTTACTTTCGAAAATTTTGCCTTGATATCTAATTTATTTTATGTCACTGAGTTTCCCGTTGGGCTAATAATAATTTTAATGTCAGTTAATGTATGACTGTATTGTTTCAACTTCGATGATTATTCCCTGAGGTATACCATTTCTATGATATCAATGTAGATATGTCAGCTAAAATAGTCATGTTAGTATTGTAATGGGAACATATGATATTGTACAGGAAAAAAAGAAAATGGAATTGTCTACATGACAACATCTATTTTTGTACTAATTATACAGTCATTCCATGATATAGCTCTTCTAGCTAATAGTAACCGTCGCGCACAGGACACTAATTATAATTATTGATCGTTCTGTTGACAGACAATGAAACTGTCAACTTGTGTGGGACTGTCTCTCGCATGGTTCCTCATTGTAACAGCACTATCACCTGGCAGTTTACTTCTACCAGGTTGTTTTTTTTTGCTTGTTCATAGGTATTTTTAAGTTTTCTTAGTATTCATTTTGTTATTGTACATTTATGTAGCATCCGTTTTAAACAAAATATTTAAAGATGTAAATTCCTGCTTAATAATCATGAACTGAGAGAAATATTATATTAGTAATATTAAATAGTATATTAAAATATATAATAATATGATATTCATACATTATGTATAACTTGAATATATGTCAGGCAACCACCTTATACATTATAGCATACCGTCCTCCCCAATGAGTTAGAGCTATTCACTTGTCACCAGCCAATCAGGCAGCCATCAAAAGGCAAAACGATCGGCTGTTAACATTCACACGGAAGACAGGTGGGGAGGGAATGAATCATTGGCTGGCGCGGCTGACCAATAATAATGCAGGATCTAAAGTCTTTATGTCAGTTTAATTGTTCGATATTATGGTTATGATATTATTAAATTATTATCATAAAATATTATGATATTATTCGATTCCAAGATGGCGGCGAGACGGACGTCTCTGTCACATCGCTCTGCTTGAATTTTGTGAATTCCTGCTTTTCGATAAACGTGCTGCATAAAAGTGTGTTTATCAATAGGTGAAAAACTTCGTCTTCGTTTTCGTATAAAAATTCGTCTTCTTCCGTACAACAAGACCGCCGAAAAGGAGAACTGATACCCAAGCCTACCCAAGTGGACAAATGACGACCGACGATCGCGCCACAAGCCCACCTGGCGCACTGTACAGGTTACTGGGTATTACAAACGACGCGGCGGAAGAAGAAGTAATCACAGCTTACAAGGAAAAAGTGAAGACTTATGAGAAGACGACGAGAGAAACAAAGGAGAAGCGCCTGTTGACCGCAGTACGCCAAAAGTTCTCAGAGGTAGGAAAAGCATTCTATGTACTCTCAAACAAAGACCGCCGTCATAAATATGACGAATCAAATGTGATTGAGGAGCCTGCGAAACGAGACAAAAAGGCCAAACCAAACTGTGAATACTTTGTACAGTACAACGACAACAGTGTAACAGTTCATATTCCGTTGGGTTCGGATAAACATTGGGTTGAGAGTATCGAAGCGCACTATGACGCGCCCATGGAAAACAAAGGCAGGAATGGATACCAATTGTCTGTGCCCTTTCATGATTCCGACCAAAACGAACCTGTCGGTATGGTTACTTTACATGTGTATCACACTTGTAAAATCCTCGTACAAGGATCGGCTTGCTACCTTTGGGTCATGTATACATTCAAAGAGTTGAAGAATCGCCGGTTACCTGAAGATAGAACATGCCGGTTACCTGAAGATAGAACATGCCGGTTATCTGAAGATAGAACATGCCGGTTACCTGAACATAGAACATTCGAACATTCGACGGCCACCGAGGAACCTGATGTACGATGTGAGGACATCGTGTGTAACAAGTGTAAACGTCCCGGCCCTGAAGATGAAGGTGTGATACAATGCAACTCATGTCAAAAGTGGCTCCACTATTCTTGCACGAATGTTCACGCGTTCCTCCTTCACGAACTCATCAAAGACGAGGAAAGTGAATTTGTTTGCAATGATTGTACACTTGCCACTTTCGCTAAACCAGTATCACCATGCCAAGACTCGCTTGAAGAAACTATTCCAAAGCAGACTGTCAAAGAATCTGCCTCAGCGAAAGCCGATGGTAATAATAACAATGACGACAATGACAAACTACAGTCCCTTCAATGCAGTGTGGATAAGATTGAGGCCATCTTAACCAGCAGGATCGCAAACGAGAACAACAAGTTCGACGCTTTGTCGATGCGTCTTTCTTACCTTGAAGCCGCGTTGTCTAAAACAAAGGAAGCACCCGACGAGAAAAGGCAAAAGAGAATGACATCGAAGTGTTAAAAAACCGCATAAAATCCCTAGAGGCAGAAAACAAAAACCTGCGTAACAGGATTACGGCCTTGGAAAAGAAAAGACGTGAGAAGTGAAGCTGATACAACACCTCTGACCAATGCCCAACCAGAATCTTCTCATGTTCCCGCCGAGAAAGACACGCCGGACAATGTCGTGAAGCCAAACGTTCCGACAAGCAACAGATTCAATCTCCTGGCAGAAAATGAGTCCTCTTCACATGATCTACCCCAGAATGGTAATGATTCAAACAAACAACAAAACAACAGCCAAACACAGAGAGGACCAGGATCTAACCAGGTGCACGACGAAAGTCAAACACGGGCAGAAATAATCATCATAGGCGACTCTAACACCAGGGGTATCATCCCAAGCATGCTCTACCCAGAGAATAGAGTCCAAAAGCTCTCCGCGATGACCATTCCCCAAGCCACGCAACTGATTAAAAGTACTACCTACACTGACCCAAAGTGTATATTGTACCACGTGGGAACTAACGACATTAAACAGGAGAGGGCTGCAAATGGAGTCACTGAGAACCTCAGACAATTGGTAATGGCAACACATGACCTATACCCAAATGCCGCCATTGTCATGTCCTCAGTTCCACCAAGAAATGACCAACACCTGATGGAAGTCACCCGTGATGTGAACTCATTCCTTCACATCCTAGACCAAGAGACGTCCTACATCAGCGTGGCGAATAACAACAACCTTGAGGACGGAGGGAGTGTAAAGTTGTCACTGTACAGGCATGACGGGTTTCACCTGAATAAGGGAGGGATAAAAGTGTTAGCCGCGAACTGGAAGACGGCTATCCACCCCACCGTCGGCCTGGGAATCTACACAAGGGGAAAGAGGAACCCAACCTCAACCCAACCCAAAATTAAGCAGGACAACCGCACTCCAGGCAACCCCACAGCAAGACAACTAGTGCCTTCGCAACAAAGCGCTAGGAACAGAAATATCAACCAAGCTCCAGGCACAGTATGGCAAAGCCAAACCTCACGGCAGGAGCGTTATACGCCTGCAAACAGGGGCCCTCGCTTTGGTGGCCAAAACTTTGCCCCTAGACAAAACACACCGAGGGAGCACCAAGGAAGTAGCAGAGACGCCAAACTACCCCTGCACCTACCAGAAGGAGCAGCCCAGACGTGGAGTCCAATCAACATGCAGCCCCCTGGATGGCAACGTGAACCAGCACCGTTCATCCCGCGTCCATTCTACCCGTTCCACGGCCCGACCCCGCCTTTCAACGGCTACGATGACACGAACCCGAACTGTTTCCCCGAGATGTTGAACGGACCTCCGCCATGGTTTCACCCACAACGGTTCCAGGGTTACCCAAGTGCTCCTTGGCGACCCTACTACGATAATGTGAGGTACTGATTTTTTTAGATCTGTAGACCAAGGACATTCTATACCCTGTGTAGACTAACCTAGATGGCAATCCGACACAGTTCATAAGAAAGTCACAAGAAAGTCTTTTCTTTCTGTGTACCAAAATACTTGCTATTATTAGAAAGTGAATATTCTTCACATAAAAGCACACGTTTTATCGCAAAAGTAGGAATTTAATCTATGCTATTTCATATGATACAAGCGTATGCTAAAAGCTCGTTAAACATAGGATTTTGGAACATCCATGGGTTAAATACTAGTAAATTAGAGGATAGGGAGTTTAAACGTTGCATAGATAAGTTGGATTTCTTCTCTCTTATTGAAACCTGGAGTAAAGAATCATCAGAAGTCGACATCCCTAACTTTCAACACATTTCTTCCATTAGACAAAAACAACGGAAAGCAAGAAGAAATTCAGGTGGAATAATTTTTTACTTCAAAAACAAATTTGCAAAATTCATAAAAAAAGAGGGTGGCACTTCTGAATGTACAGACTTACTCTGGGTCCGAATATCGAAAGAGTTATTTGGGTTGCAGAACGATGTATTCATTTGTAGTATTTATATTAGTCCAGTGTATTCTGCCATTCACAAAAGAACAGCTGAATCTATATTTGATATTCTGGAACAGGATGTAGCACATTTTAGCTCAAAGGGATACGTCATACTCGGGGGGGATTTTAACAGTAGACTTGGTCACTTACAAGACTTTACAAAAGATGACCCAATAGAGTCAGAGTATGAAGTGATAACGCACAATTCTTACCTTGACATCCCTAGAAACTTCTCCGATAAAACCCCACCTAACTCATTTGGCAAAAACCTAACCGAATTGTGCGCCCAATCCGACCTCCGTATACTCAATGGACGAGTTTTGGGTGACTTGAATGGCCGATACACGTGTTACCAACCTAACGGATGTAGCACAGTAGATTACGTCATCGGAACCAGTACCCTCTTTCACTACATAAATATATTTAAAGTTCATCCACTAACAGTGCTTTCAGATCACTGCATGATTTCTTTAAACATAAATGCGTTACCGGTCCCGACCAAAAACGAGAAAATACAAAAAACCAAGTCATACCCCATGCCAGACAGGTTTGTCTGGGGGCCAGGCTCGAAAGAAAAATTTACAGAAGCCTTAAGTAGCCCAATAATCTCACATAAACTACAAAACTTCTTATCTCTAAAACAAAATGACACTCTAACACATCGGGAAATAGATGAAGAAATTGATGACTTCCAAGTAATATTGGAAATGACAGGGAAAAGATCATTACAAGTTAAAAGCTATAAGAAACGAAAAGGATTGAAAAAGAATAAGAGATGGTTTGACAAGACATGCTATGAGGCTAGAAATGAACTTAAAAACTTAAGATATTTACTCATGCAAAATCCAAAGAATCCATCCTTAAGAGGCAGTTATTTTAAGAAGAAGAAGGAATTCAATAAACTTATTAGAAAACGTAAACGAGAACACGAAAACAACTGCTTAATGCGACTTCAAAATCTACAAGAAAATAACCCCACAGCTTTCTGGAATCTACTTAAAGAACTTAAGACGGAAAATGCGTCTCATAAAGAAGACATACCAACTGACTCTTGGCTAGAACATTTTAGAGCTCTTCACAGCAAATCCAAATTAAAACGCCAAAATTTCGATACAACCTTTGAAGATGATGTTCTAAATAAATTAGACTTGTTACAGAAATGCGAGTCTAATCCAGGACCTCTAGACTACCCGATCACCTCATCAGAAATAAGCATTGCAATACATTGTTTAAAAAATAACAAAGCCAGCGGAGAGGACATGATCATTAATGAAATGCTGAAAGCTGGGAAACAAATCCTATTGTCCCCCTTGGTTAAACTATTTAATCTAACTCTAACAAGGGGAGAATTTCCTAAAACATGGTCCAAAAGTCATATAGTTCCAATATTTAAGTCCGGACAAAAAGACAATGCCAATAATTATAGGGGAATCGCCATTTCAAGCTGCCTGGGGAAACTTTTCACCTCTGTGCTTAATAAAAGACTAACGGCATTCCTAGAAAACAGGGAAATCATAAAACCAAACCAGACAGGCTTTCGCAAGAATTACAGAACATCCGACAATATTTTCATATTAAAAACGCTGATTTCAAAATACACCTCAGGTGGAAAACGTCTTTTTGCTTGTTTTGTTGACCTTTCCAAGGCATTTGATTCAACCTGGCATGAAGGTTTGTTCTACAAACTTCTATCTAATAATATTTCTGGAAATTTTTCAACATAATCAAAAGTTTATACAGCCAATCAGAAGCGCAGGTAAAAACTAGCGCAGGTTTAACTGAAAGTTACCCCGTTGAAAATTGGTGTCCGGCAGGGCTGCGTGCTCAGCCCCTGCTTATTTAACATGTATATAAGTGATGCCATAAACCATCTAAACACAGAATACTTAGATGCTCCTGTGTTGAATTCTTCAAAAGTGACAAGCTTATTTTATGCAGATGACATCGTGCTGTTGTCAGAAAGTCCACAGGGATTACAACAAGCGATTGATATACTTGGGCAGTACTGTCAAAAATGGAAATTATCTATCAACCTTACAAAAACGAAGATTGTAATATTCAACAAAAAAGGTCATATATTTTCAAACCTAAAATTTCAGCTTTCAGGAAGCACTATAGAGATAGTACCATCATATTCTTACCTTGGGGTTGTATTTACAGCGGGATGTAGCTTTAACCCCGCCATGAAAGTATTACAAAAAAAGGCCCTGAGAGCGCTGTTTAGTATCAGAACTACTCTTGGTGATACTAAATCTTCAATTCCTATATACTGTAAACTATTTGATTCATGTATTGCCCCAATATTGTTGTACGGTGCGGATGTCTGGTGTAATAATAATTTAAACGACAGCTCCCCTATAGAACTTGCACACTTAAAATTTTGTAAATTTATTCTGGGAGAGAAAAGAAATGCCAGTAATCTTGCCAGCAGAGCTGAGCTCGGCCGTTTCCCCCTATGGATAGAAGCTTATTGCAGACTATATAATTATTACTGTAGATTAGTTAGTAACGTAGACACAAATAGTTTGCAATATGAAGTTTTTATCGTCCAAAAAGACCTAGATCGACAACATGTACCCTGCTGGCTGTCTAATGTAAGAAAAATGTTAGAGGAGTCCGGTTACGCCTTTCTATTTACAAACAACAGTCTGAACTTGTCTGCTTATTCACTTGATTTTAAGAAAAGACTACAAGATATTTTTATACAGAAATTCTATTCTGAATTAAATTAAAACGTCCGAGGAAACAACCAAGGCAACAAATTAAGAACATACAAACTGTTCAAAGTTACATATAATAAAGAAAAATACCTAAGTATCCCAAATCCCGAGCATCGCCGGACCATGTCAAAACTACGAATTAGTGACCATAATTTACACATAGAAACCGGCAGACATAACCGGACTCCTGTAGAAGATAGACTCTGTAAGGTTCGTAACTCTGGTAGTGTAGAAGATGAAATACATTTTGTACTTGATTGTAAATTGTTTGATATTGAACGTGACACACTATTTAGAACAATCCACTTAGACAAACTGTATAAAGGTAGAACAAAGAAAGAGGTATTCAGTCATCTCATGTCCACCAGTAATGACCATACAATAGAAAAACTTTGTGAGTTTATCTCCACTTGCTTTAAAAAGAGAGAAGAAATCCTTAAGGCTTAGTTTAGTTTATTCTCTGACTAGTAGTTGTTAAGACGTTACGTCATTCTGTTATTCTGTTATTCTTGTATCTTATGTATCATGTTACTCAGATTGATGTACATGTAACATCACTTTCTGATGTATGCCTTTAGCCCCATGGGCATGAACATGCAAATAAATAAATAAATAAATAAATAAATTAAAAAAAATTCTGCGTTTTACATACGTTGCTTTGCTTTGTGTCACATTCCATAGTGCTAATTAGAAACTTAAATTTTGAAAAACTACCTAAGTATGATGAATAATGATGAACCTTACCATTAACAAAAATGGACTTATAATATTTAATAAGGTTTAATTCTTTTAAAAGCTTGAAATGAGTCGATATGCACATACATGCCAGTTATGGTGAAGCAATCTGCATGAATATTCATTTACACCATGATAATACTTGACTTGATTATATGACAGTCACTAACACATATTAGATATAAGATTTAATTTAATTCTATTATCATCCTTTCATTTATTTCTTATCTCAGTTTCATACCTTACAGCTTTCTATGTGAGTATTATGAAAATAGCTCTAAAAGTAGTCTATGTTATTCTTATGCTTACCACATTCTTAGCTTAACGTCTATCCCAACACACTTATTTAACATATCTTAATTTCGACTACCAATACAAGTGGACAATCACCTTTATGTAGCCTAAATGACTTCCGTTAATGGCCAGCCTTTCTTAGATCTTTTAAGCTATTTACGTCGAAAATATTGCCAAAAATAGGGCTGGCCTAGGCAAATGTATCAGACCAAAAATGTTCTTGTGATGGTCAATCAAAAGAATGTTTAGACATCATAGTATAGGAACAAGGCATTACTAACATAAATGCAGAAAGCTACGATACAAAACACCGATAATACCTACCAAACCTTTGGTAATATTATCTAGGCCACCAACGCCCCCATCCCCATCTACTACAATCTTGTACATTTACGTGACCTGAGTGACCTTTAATTACAAGGTCATCAGCCCACTTTTTAAAGAAAAGAAAGATGCTAAATGCTTTTTGAAAGCTTTTGAAACTAAATTAAAGTAATGAGTTCTTCTGGCCCAAGCCTCTATTTTCAACATTTTTTAGCTATATTTACAGACATCCAATTACAAGGTGGCAAAACAAGCGATATTCGGGATCCTGGGATCGGGGAATTTGTGTAATGACGATATCTACCGAATTTTTTTTTAACATATTGTCGTCATCATTATATATTTGTAGCGATTATATAAAAGGCCCAAATCACCACCGTGAGTTTTTTTTTTTTTTGTAAAAAAAAAAAACGTTTTTAGTCAGCAACTTTATCGTTATTATTTTCGTATCAGTACGCTGTAGGTTAGCAAGATCTTTTTTAAAGAGTGACCAGAAAACAGACTTTGAAAATCCAGTTTGCCGTCCTAAAATTGCATTGGATGACTTCAAACACAGATAACTATCTCTGTCTACTTCTCCTCCAGTTTCACCAGCAGTCCGTAGACAATGATGACTCCATGTCTGTCCGTGGACCACTCGATCTCGCTGTCGCTGAACCTCTTGTCTAAGTTCTTCCGCGCGACCGTTGAGGCGCCGACTTTGTAGCTGCCCGGCTTGATGTAGAGTTGTAGGGCCACTTTAGCTTCATAGGTCTTGTCACGGTGTCTAAAGCTGCAAAAAAAATCGTTAAAATATTTTTAAATTTCCAAATTGATTTACTTTTCATTTGGTTTGAGGACATGGCGCTGACTGACTACCCAAAAAGGGCTAGTCCTGGCGATTGAAATACATACCATACACAAGTGGTTACAAGGTAATATTTAATGCCGTCACCAAAGCACAAGAAATTGGTGCGATTTTTACAAGACATTCGAGTTACCCTGATGCTTCATCAACTGATGTGCTTCATACTTGAAGTTTAAAAATAGTCTCAATGTGAAATATAAATTTATTGCTCAACAACTACAACACATGTCAATGATTCTAAAAAAAACGTCGTTAAAAAGCCTGCCTTGTTGTGCCTTGGGTGTAAATGCAATCTTAGATAAATAGTGCCTCGTTCAGGCACAGCCAGCTGTGGGATTCTACAGGTGATACTTAAATCTAAAGAAAAATCGTTAAAAGTTGTTAACCTGCTAGTCTTTGCATAGGCGGGCAGTCCTGCGTAGTGAATGCTGGGAGAGACGAAGACTTGTTTTGTGTCAAAACCCGCCGGCTTCCAGCTGTCCTTGTAGTGACCGTCCCGCTCAGACAACGTGCTGCCCTCCATGGTCTTGTCACCTAAATATGGGGTAAGGCCAGGCTGTTTGTATACATTCAAATACCATTTGGATTTCATTTATTTGTTTAGTAGGGGTGTGATGGAGTACATAAGATAGTTTTCAGTAAGCCCATAAGGCAGAGCGTGGGTGCTGGGGTGAGTTAGTCGGGGTCTAGACTGGAGTGAGAGAGGTCCGGTGGCCTGTATTAGAGCAGCAGTCTAGTATTAAACAGAGTTCCTGGAGATCGACCCCGGCTCATTTCATGACAAGCGGACAAAACCATAAACCACTAAAAACCCAATACACGCACAACTCTTGAAGGTTATTTTTAAAAAAATGACCACAAAACGCATCTTGAGCCAAAAATAAAGAAAAAGCCAAATATCGAGCAAGTGCCCCGTTGTTACAAAGTCATGGAAGTTACCTAATAAGAACGCATTTAATGCTCTACACCTCAAGATACCTATGGAAGTTATACACTGTGTAGGTGTTATAAATATGTTTGGCAATGAAAAGTCTTGCATTGAATGAAATGTGACTATCCAACCTCACCGGCTTTGATGAGGTCCCCGGTGTTGAGGATACTCTCCAGAGCGCCGACAGTCGTTCCATGGAACGCCACATGCCATTTTTGGAACACTTCAAGTGCTGTGGCTCTAGGAGGGACCCTAGTATTGATAAAAAGTTAAGTAGTGTAATGTAATATTATAAATATATCTGGGTTTTTTGCGGGGGGGGGGGTCTCATTATTTCTTTCTTTTATCATAATAGTATTCTTAATGCGTGATCTTATACAAGCCCAACGCTACCTTAGAGATATAAACTAACTTACTACATGCCATTTGTTGGTCGATTATTCATTTATAACGTCATTTTTACTACCCATTTTCACGACGTTACGACCTGAAAACCTATGGTATTGCAGGCCTGATTGTTTAATACAAACGTTGACTCTTAAAAAAACTGATAGCGTTTAGGGCATATTTTTACTAACTTGAGTGAGAAGCGGCACCATCCAACCGGCAGTCCGTAGTCCTTCTGTGGAACACCGCGTTTGTAGTAGTCCTGGTCCCCGCGGGACACGTGACAGTTACGGCAGTAACACATGTTAAACCGATCGTCGAAAAAACCGTCTGTAGTGACATACAAGCAAAACATTTAGTTTTAGTGCGGTTTCAATTTTATCATACTTGTAGTTACGACAAGTAGACAGAAGTACTTTGTAATCATGATAAAAACATACCTCAAAAAATGCACCATTTTAAAACTAAGGTGAAGGTTAGGGTGACGCTGGGGGTAATTGAGATTTGTATGTCGTACCTTTTAACTTCAAAGAAGTCTTGAACTTCATGCACTTTTGCATGTACGGGCAATCACCTGAAAAATTAAAAAAATAACACTGAACTAGAAAGGCCAATATTTGCTTTGGAGCAAATACAGCGATGGGTTCACCACATTTTACGACATGGCAGGGAAAGAATGAGAAACACAAGGGAAAACAATGATTTACATTGATATAACTATAATATGAAGTAACATACAACTAAAACAACAGTTGGATAGCTATTCCCTACTTTATTGGTTAGGATTTTTAATTGCATAATGCAAACTGTTGATTTTCAAAAAAAAAAAAACGTTACATGCCCCGCATTCCAATGCTGGAGCAGAAAAGCTTGAAATACCTACCAAAACACTTGAATAAAGACATACTGTCAGTATGGAAATGCTCTGTGCAGGTGTTAATCAAGTTAAATCCCAACAGCCAATCAGCAAGAAATGCTCTGTGCAGGTGGAAATGCTCTGTGCAGGTGTTAATCAAGTTAAATCCCAACAGCCAATCAGCAAGAAGTATAGAGGAAAGCTGCATGCCTATTGGTTGATGCCCTGCATTCCATTGTGATGACTCATGCCCAGACGTGGTAAACACGGCACACTAACACAGTAATACATTTGCTCTAACACAGCCAAAAAACTCAAATAAAACCATTCTAAAAGCCTGTATCACCAAAATTTAAAAAACGCCTAGGGGTATTTGCCCACTGTACCTCCATACCAAATTTCAGGACCTTAGGCCCTAAAAATGAAGAAGCTGAATCCGTTTAAAACTAGAAAGGCCAACATTTTCTTCGGAGCAAATGTAGGAATTTCACTCCATACCCTTCCCCAAACAAAAATGAGAGATTCTAAATAAATCATACTGCAATTATACAAGGACAAGCTGTTTGAATCTCGACAGGTATTTACAAAACTGGCACTTGGCAATTATCTCCCTTTCTTTTTTTACAAAGATACAACGACACGCACTTTAAATCTCGACAGCTTTACTTTACACTTTTGACGAGATTGTAACTACTACTAACGGAAGCAAAATTTTCACGGCCTGAGAAAAATGGACATGTTCACGGAAGTATATATTCACGGTGGTGACAGTTGCAGGAAAAAGAAAGTCCAGGAATTATTTCCTAACTGTAATGATAAGTTCACAATACAGAGGTGACAGTGAAAACCGTGAACATTGACCCCCCGCTTGCGTTGCGGTACAGTGAAAAAAAATCGGGAATTACAGCAATCAATTTACTGAGTATGTTTGCTTAGTTTCCAGATGTTTTTAAATGAACGAAAACCGATGCGCGCACAGATGTTACTTTTGTGACAACATCAAAGTGATTTTGGTTTGTATGTTAAAAAAATACAAAAGACTAACATTCGAAGTTATTGAAATTCTTGAGTAAGAACAATCAGTTTTGGAATGTTAAAAGCAAAGCAATGGATATTAAAACGAAAATAGTTAAAATTAAATGTTGAAATTGTTAAAAATGTAAAAATGGTTAAAATGGTTAAAATTGTTGAAATTGTTAAAAATGGTAAAATTAGTTAAAAATTAGTAAAAAGGATAATTAAAAATATCCAGTGTACCGGGGTTCGAACTCGTAATGTCTGGACTTGCAGCCCTGCGCGTTACCAACCGAGCTATCTGGACACGTTTCCATCACTCTCTGCATTGTATGTCATGTAAAGTGAACAACATGGCGGTAACGATCGCTTCAAGTACTAGTAAGGGACTTTCTAGGAGATACACTCTACAATTTTGGTGATTCTTCAGAAATCGATAACAGAATATATAATACTAGTCGGTGAAGATTGTGAAAAATTGTTGATACCGTGGCGCGCGCGCGTGCGCCGACGATACACATTACGTACCGTTGTTTACAGTACTCGCGGGGCGCAGGTCATTGACCTCCCGCTTGCGTTGTTCCAACAGAGAAGAGCAAAGTATCTGCCAGTTTTTGCGTCAGATTTTCAGTGTTTGTTAAAATCATATACAGGCATCCATGCAGCTATAATTCTTCCAACTAGTTCGTAGTTAGGTGAAATGTTTATAGGAATCACACGAATCGGTATCCAGTATCAGAGTATCATGGCCCACGGCCGAGACCGCGTGGACCAGCTGCGCTGGTACGTGAAAATGGTAGTAAATAAATTAATTAGCCAACAGCCAATCAACAGCCACATCTGCAAACATGACCACACCTGCTTGTATGCCCATATTTGGGCCTTCCCCCGAATTCCTTTCTTATTACGTCACGCGCGTACGCCCCCACAGTACTTTCCTATGGGGACCACTAAAAAGCTAATAAAACGATTGTAAAAGCTTGTATCAAAAAAATTTAAAAAACGCCTAAGGGTATTTACCCACTCTACCTCTATACGAAATTACAGGTAATTTCGCCCAAAAATGAAGGAGTTGAATCAATTTAAAGAAGTGGCAGGAGGAGGAGGAGGAGGAGGAGAAGGAGGAGAAGAAACATCAGAAAAAGCAATATGGGTTCACCACCACTTCGTGGTGTGGTGAACCCATAATTACTTGGAAGTTACGGCTCACTGCTACTTTCAAAGATTGAATAGTGGAAACTACAGTAAGACTGAAAACGTGTGCAACAATAAGAGGCGATTGATTTAACCAGAGAAAAGAAAAGAAAAGCAATATAGTTTAGAAATATGTTATTAAAGAATTGGTTAGTGAATATTGTATGCTGTTTGTATGTTGCATATTAAGTGCTCCATTTTGCTGTATGTAATAAGAAGTGATTTAAAAAGTATCCTCCTGCCAAAAGAGATAAGGTAGAATTGTTTTGTATCATGTTCCAAACTAACACACACCTGCAGTGCTTTTCTGCAGTGTCTGCATGACATCTGTAGCCGCTTTTTTGACAGCGTGATCGTCATGTTCCTTCAGCTGGTTCAGGATGGACACGGCGGCTGGGTCCTTCTTTACCTGAGCTTTGATGTCAGGGTCGTGAAGGAACGCCTGCAGCGCCTGTCAATTATTGTTATATTAGAACACTAATTAATTATAAACGCCTTTAAACTAGCGTTATCCGTTTTTACTCAATATATACCACAATTTAGGTATATATTTCCTGTCTTTATATGTACCATATATTCAACTGATGATATGAGTATTTACACCCGGCCCTTTGAGCATTAATATGCAATTTCTGTATTGTTGTTCTTAACATTATTAATGCATCGACTGAATGTTCTTGCGTACATATTTTCTATTCAATATTCAATATCATTCTAAACAAGAAAAAACGACTGTGAACTTAAGTTTCAAATCAAGCAATAATTTGATAATGAATTACTCGTAGAATTTATATACAGAATACTACCTCTAAAAGCTAGGTAAGTAATCTATTTCACACCTTCGCAGCCTGTTCTTTATCAGTGCTGTCACCATCCTGTGCCAAGGCAATCAGCAGTTTCAGGGCTCCTTTCTTAGTGAGCAGTTCTTTGTTAGCGTCATTCCGAGCCAGCGCGCCCAGGGCCATAGCCAGCTCCATCACTGAGTAACCGTCGGCCCTATTGTATGACGAGAGTGCTTAACATACGAATAGCAAATTGAGAAAATGAATGGAGGTCCCTGTTCTGACGAGAGACTCGCCCCCATCATGTTAAAAAAACTCACCACAGCTATCGAAAAGAGTAAAGGTACAGTGTGAGTGGCTCAAACCATAAAGTCTTGTGACAGCAGCTGGGGCAATTTATGTTCTATTGAGGTCACTAGACGGCTAAAACGCCCCCTTTACAGACCTTTTAATTGTAAATTCTTCTCAATTCAGTTGAAACTTGGCGAGAGAGAACACTCTGCCCACCCATTGGTTTGCAGTTATGGGTACAATATCCATGTTTTCTACAATTAATACATTATCTATCTAATACATTATCATTATTTGCCAATTTGAATGACTATAGTAGTGTTATACATACATGTAGTGCTGACCTGATATTCAATAAATCTTACAAAGCACGTCAGTGATTTTTATTAATATAACATGGGAAAGAAAAAAAGTCTAAGTCAAAATAAGTAGCCATCTACCTCATGTCAGAGGAACTGAGTGCCTTGTTCATGGTCCTGATGATGTAATCCGCCACGCTGTCGTCAACCTCGATCAGACTGCTGTTTCTGTCTTCCACAATGTACGCCAGGGTCAAGACGGCTGGGACCTGACAGATACAGTCATGAGACAAAGATTAAGTCATACTGTTTCTGAGGGTTTGTACTTTGGTATTGTTGTGCTTGACACCTGCATAACTTCTAAGTGAATCAAAGAATCAATTGCACATTACACCTTGTGTACAAAGCATCTCACAGACATATGATATAATAAAGCAGCATATGGAATCACCCAGCCTTTATGTGTTCATTTTCATTACACTACACCTTTTAATCTGTGCATTAATACTCGTAAATGTACATGAATCTGCACTTGAATGTTGCTATGGCTTACAAAGCCTTTTTATTCTGTATTGTATTATTTTGCCTGTGGAATTCTACTGAGATATTTTAAATTTTGTCATGATGAGCAGTCACATTAAAAATACATCAAATTAATAGAGATTGAAGAAATCAAATTCATACCTTTAGGTTAATATCTTCGACTTGCAGATACGGCCTGATGCGGTCGACTGCTTTGACGTCCTGGAGGAAGTGACGGTTCTCTGGTACCTTGGCACAGTTGTGCATCACGGCAATGGCAGACAGGACCATTAGGTTGATCACCTGGATAATAGATAATAATAAAATGCTATGAAAGAAAGATGTAAATGATGTCCAGCGTCCAAATATGACAACTGTTTTTAAATTATGATGATTTGTTTAGGTTTCGCGACTCACGTATATTTTCGGTTTTATGGTGTCAACATAAATCACATATATACCTTCGTATATATTCTCTTTTAAAGCAGCATCATATATCAGCTCAATTATCCTATTGTATAACTCATATTGTTTTGAGGACAAAACTTGTGCATGGGCGTAAAGTTGAAGCATTTCCATAATGTAATGAAAAATACGAACTTAAAAACTTAAAGACGTTAAAAGCTTTTAAACTTGTGCTTTTAGTGCACCTGGGAGCTGCAAAGCCCCGTACAAGGAGTTTCCAAATATTTTCTCACCTCATGTTTGAGATCGGCTCCGTCGAAGTTAGCCAGATCCTGGGCAACAATCGTGAGGAGGCCTGACTTGCCGAGTTCACGGCAGAACTCAAAACTGGCATCCGAGAAGTTCCACAACAGACTCCGCACCACATGCAGGCATTTCAGTTGCACCTGAACAAACCGATAGGTACTGTAAACAAATTCAAATTACATCTGTACGTGTAGCTATTGATTTAGTAAACAATCTGTCACTCGCACAAATTTGATAGCTTTTGTACTCGCATTCTGATTACTTTGTTGTTTTGACGAATCAGCTCTTTACTTTATGAATTTGGAAATGACAGCATATTTTCTATATTCATTCATGTTGATAGAACATTATGATGCTGTGCATTTTAATGATTTACTTCTATGTGTCTCTTTATTGGCAAATGCCCCTTTTTTTTCCTGTGCTTGGATAAAAAGAATGAAAGAGCGTAATTTACGTTCCTACCTGTTCCTCGGTGTGTTTGCCATTCATCAGGAACTTCAGGTAGTCCGTCAGGGCACGAGCACCCCCGATGTTAGCCAGGTGGTCCCCCATGATCTTACGTTCTGCCTTTTTAGGGAACATCTTGTAGGGGCCGTCCAGAGCTTCCTCCAGCGTGTCTTTGACGGTTGAGATGGATCCTCCATCCCTAATCATTAACAAAACAGGTCAAGGTACAAAACCGCCATATGATGCCGTACGTTATCAAATTCCTTACATACCCACGGGTGCAATGAAACCATCGTTTAAATTAACTAGATCTTTACTTAATTTGATATTAAACAATGAAACTACCTTTGGGGTGGTTAATTAAAGCATCACAATTTACATCCATTAACCTTCATCTGTGATATATTTCCAAATAACCCTACTTGTAAACTCTCAATGCACATCAGTATACAGCAATTTGTAATTAATTTTAATTTGATTCCTACTTTGGTCGTATGAAACGCCTGACTGTTTCCCAAGGATCAAGTACCTTTTTGACTTGACCATGTCGATGGCCTTGCTCATCTTGGGCAGCAGCTCGTACAGTTTCTCTCGACGTTCCTCGGGTGAGAGCGTCTTCACGGCCCGGGGAGTACCTGCTCCGGACCCCTCCTCACTCCTTTCAAGTGCGGCTTATGGGGAAGACACAAAAAGTAAAAACCATTAACTCTACTCAGACCAGTTCGGGAAGGGGTGGCAGGTTTCATCTCGTATAACGTCTGAACAGCTTACACTAAAGCAACTAGATTTGGTACCCTTTCCTGAATGTATATGACTTTTATCACTGTTATATGATACTGTTTTTTTATGATGTTTTTTTTTTAATTCGGTAATTTTTTGTTAGAACAATAAAGCATATGTTTTTATATTTACATTATTGAAAATTTATGACTTATAATGTATTGATTAAATTGTCAAGTTCAAGATTTGTAGAAACTGTGCAATTAAATTGATCACGGATATGTAAGCCATGGTCAGTTTTAGTGACTACCGTGAAGATTACCTTTGAGCAGGTCCAGCACAGTAAGTTGATCCCGACCGGCGGCGAGGTGCCTCATCAGTCCGCTGATGTCCTCGTCACTGTCGCTACTGTCGTCCTCCCCGGCACACGCACGGCAGCAGCCGCACCGCTCACACCCGGCGTCACCTGCACCACAGCCGCACGGACTGGGGGAGGTTCAGAGGTAAGGTCGGTTATTAAAGAAGCCGTGGTATATGTCCCATGCTGATTTATAAAGGCAGTCAGAATCTGTCTTCATACCGGTATCTTTGTTTATTTGGATATTAAACAACGGGGCGAAGGTGATACATAATTTGTGGGGTCGTGTGGCGTAATGGTAGCTTGTTCGGGTTCAATCCTTCCACAAATGTGGTGAATCTTCATAAAATATAATAAAAAAAGAAATACAAACTTAGCCACGTTTGGGGTTGTTTTAGAGATTTGATATACAAAAAAAAAAAAACGAACTTACCCTCCAGGGAATCGCAGCAGTTTTCCTTCATGAACGCACTTGGCTCCGAACCCGGTGCACTTCTTACAGAATCTGCACACCTTACACTTGTCCTTGTTCCACTGGTGCGTTCCCTTAGCACACATGGAGGATTTCCCGGCAGTCGATGGTTTAGCCGCGGCCTGTGAACCCCCTCCTGTAGAGTTATAAACATTGTGGTTGGAAAATAATATAAGCCAAGTCAATTTCCATTCGATGATTTACATGTTGCCAATTGAACGCAGCAAACTGGCAATCATGGTACTATGTCATTTACCGCTATATGGTGGCAAAAAAATGGCAGTAGATTAAAGATAGTAGTAACATTTAAAACAAGATTAAAGCCCTAATTCACATTTTACCTTTACAATTGTGTCCCTTTTTCGTAAAAGTATTATTAATGCTTTAAACCATTTGCCAAAATGCTTATGGAAAAAACACAATATAAAAGACAAAATAAGCGAAGCAAACCCTTATATACACAGTGAACTATTACGCATCTAAGATCCTTGCTCCTAGGCTCCTAGCTATTTTTACCTGATGAGACTTTGGTCAGTGAGTTGGGGTTGAAGAGCCAGTCCGTGCCGTCTATGTGGACGGTCATGTCGTTATCCGAATCAACTTTCACCACACGCCCAACTTTACCCAAGGCCTGGGGATAGACACGTAAACTTTGTTGAAATGGTATAGTAAACAAACAGCATATATTAAATCCAATTGTGTTTTAGGTATATAACTTTGCACATCGCAAATACTAAAAGAATCATGTATATTTATCCACGAATGCATTCGGAAAAATAATAAAAGATGTACAATGTCATGTAGATCTGCACTAAACAGAGAGGAAAGGAAATAATGAAGAGGGAGAAAGAGATCTAGCAAGAGAAGGAGAAAATTTTAATATTAATAAATACATTAATTTGGTAAATTTGATACTTGATACTTGTCGTTATTGTTTTATGTGAGCTGGAATAATCTAGTTGAAAGGATTTGCTGTTTGTTTATGTTAGAATGTAGGCATCTATTGACAAAAAGACGATTTAATAACCTTGATTTCAGCTTAGGCCTCCCATATTCTTTATCTTAAAAATGGAAGTCCCGGTATACGTAACGAGGAACAGAAAGGTCAAGGATTTGTAGATATTCTAAATTGTGTGAATAACTTACCTCTCTCATTTTGTCGTTCCAGCCGCCATGTCCCCGCTGAAGCAGCCTTACCCGTGCTGCGTCATTACTGACACGGACCAGGTCTCCAACACTGATCTCTGCTGACCCACTACTGCCGCTGCTACTGCCGCTACTACTACTGTTACTGGCATTGCTGCCACTTCCACTGCTGGGCTTCTCAACCTTCGTCAGCACGTCGGGGTTGTACGTCCAACCACCTTTTCCTGGAACCTCCACCTTCACGCGAGTTGCACCAACCGATACCACTCGCCCAACCTGGCCTAAGGTCTGGGGATGTATAACAATAATTTATCATTTCTTGTGCACGTGGGTCACATCAGATTTCACGCTGCAGTTTATTTTAGATAGACCAATATTAAATGACGTGAACTTTAATTGCCTTGGAAGCGTATTAAGTATTTACAAAATACTAGAAAGAGTAGACAAATGGCCAGAATAGGCAGACATGCCGAGGACGTACCGGACTAGTATACTGGTACATTTTACTGTCGCTTCTGAAGCCTGGTGAACGCTAAGCTACCCTAAAAGATATCATAACTTCTTATGTTTCAGTCACTTTTTTGAACAGGCGCTTACTTTCAGGTATGACTTATTTCCACTGAAGAAATCGTTACAATAGTGACCTTGGCATTAGATAAGCATGGCTAACTTACAGCTGACATTGCAGGAACCCAGCCACCATGTCCCTCCTGCATGGCTCTGACACGTAGTCCATTACCGTCTATCTTCACCAGGTCTCCCACACTCAGTCTGTTCCCGCCCTCTCCGGGAGCGGACACCTTCGTCAGACTGGCCGGGTTGAAGCACCACATCCTGCCGCCCACGTCCACCTTCACGTCCCGGTCAGGAAACACGTGCACGATCCGCCCAACCTTTCCAAGGCTCTGTAATATAGCCATTACAGGTACATTTCATAAGCCATGTGAGGTTATATAGCAAACAATCTATCATCAACCTGCTCACAAATTTAGTAACAAAGCAACCCTTATATTTGCGTCAACGTCCAACCTTAAAAAAACTAAACTGTAACATAGCCATAGAAACGTCAGTAAACGTCCACCTTCTAAAAACTGTGTAAAATAGCAACCCTTTTATCACCATACGTCTAACCTTCGCAAAAATTTTCTGTAACGTCTCAACCTGTACATGCCATTACACGATCAACCTTTTAAAACTATAACATAGCAGCATTTCTGTCACCACACGTTCAACTTTCTACAAACTGTGTAACACATAGCAGTTCTTCTGTCACTACACTCCAAGATTTCCCCAGAATCTTAACAAAGCAACCCTCTAATAAACAAGGAGACTCTTCTACATAAAACAAAAAAAGATCAAAGGCGTGTTCATATTTCAGGTAGGTCGATGAATTTTAATTTCTTAGGTAAGAACATCATCACGGTATGAAAGATTTGCAGATCTTTTTGAACTGCATATATTTTAAAATCTTTTTTGGTTAAAAGATTGTACGACACATGCAGTATATTCTAAGAATGCCCCGGGTTTGCGATCACGCACGACATACATAACGATACTCTCACTGACCGACGCCATGTCGTTGTTCCAGCCGCCATGTCCGACCTGCTGCCGCTGCACCTTCCCGTGATCCTCGCTGACCCGGACCCAGTCTCCTGTACGGAGGGCGGAGCTGTCGTCCCCGCCTACTTTGGTCAGGGCGTCAGGGTTCAGACAGAATCTGAGAAACCAAGTAAACCGTGGTCATTATGTTTACCGAAGGAAATCATATAGTTTTTGCTCTGTTTTTTTCTTCTCCAAACCAATAAGGTCAATGACCTAAAACATACGTCTGTCACCATGGCTAGTTATGTTAGGTGACATCATGTTGCAAGTAGTAGGGAGTTTTATAGTAGGAAGGATTTAGACTCCTGTTTGACCATATGTGTTTAAGTAAGAGTTAGCAGTAAGAGCAGACCATATGCATAGGTAAACATTATTTGATATTGTAGGCCATTAATGTAAAGTTAAAACAAAAAACATTTTAAAAATGTGTGTGCTGGGGGGTGGATGATGCATTTCTAGCAATAGGTCATTTCTAGAAACGCATCCTCCACCCCCAATATTATAGCAGACCGTCTTCACTTTATACTTGTAAAGTAGCCAATTGACACATATATTGTAACATTTGGGAAAGTATTTCACATCAATTGTCAGCCAATGACTGTGATACTTAAAAACAAGTACCTGTTTCCGCTAGGATACCGAACGACGATGTCACCATCTTGATCCACTCCTTCCACAGATCCTTCTGTCGTTATGCACTATGAAAAAAAGGGGGTAAGTAAAACCTTTCTAGCACACCATGTTGCATGGTATTTTTAAACTGTGCATAGTTTATTTCCTAATTACCATTTACAAATATTTTAGTTGTAAATGAAAAAGCATGAATTAAATAGTATTTTTTTATATGCGGTAAAATGCCTTATGAGTATTGCTAATTGTTGTACTTTAAACCTATTATTTATTATAGACAACAGCACCAATCGAGTGCAAAGGAGACCCATTACAAAACGGATGGCACCAAGGCGAAGTCAAAATAACCCTAATTCACTAAAAAAAAGGTAAACAAAACAACTACCAATGAATAAAGATCAAGGAAAAGCAAAACAGTATATAAGAAACAACAAATAAAAGTACTATGAATGACCAAGAAAAGTTTGTAGAATACTACGAAAGAAGTATATAGAATATCACTCAATATTAATGTTATATGAAATTTTCACCTCCAACATCGGTAAGGTGAAGCCGCCATGACCTCTCTGGAGCAGCTGTAAGGTCATCAGGTCATGTTCAACTTTGACCTTGTCTCCTTTGGTGTAGCGACCAAGACTCACGCCGACTGTAGAGTACAAACAAACAAGCTTATTAGAATGGTCGATTAGAAAAGTGTGGTGTCTGATTGCTATCTTGTATAAGGAAATACATATTGTTTAAATATCTGAATATTTTCCCTGTATTAGATAATATAAAAACAATATTAGCATGGCCAATCTAGACAATGGGTGGTCAATCCATGCACGGAATGTTTTTGTATTGGCTGTTTGATTTACACTAATGATTACTATTGATAATGAAAGTTAAATTCTAAATTTTAAATCCCCTACACTCACACATGCACAAACACACGCACACACACATGAATACATACAAACGCACACACACGCACACACACACACACACACACACACAGGAACACATACAAACGCACAAACACACACACACACACAAACACACACGGGAAACTACATATTGGAACACAGAAAAACACATAGGCTGATATCAAGTAAGATTGTCATTCCTGTCAGACATTTACTTCGTCAACACCTAACTCAAGCCTATCTCAAAGCTTATACCTTACCCACACCCAAACAAGAGCCCCGGCATTAATTCTAAGTCTAACCGTTGACCCAAAACATCCATAGGACTGTCATGGCTGCTTTCATATCAAAAGGTAGTAACTAACACCCCCCCCCCCCTTGTCAATTTCTTACACAAAGAGTAGCGTGACCTTAATGTTACAAATTTCCATGTTTCGTCGCATAACTTTAAATCCTGTACACGTTGTAAAACTCTTTGAATTATAGTATGGTAAAACAGTATTTGGATTTTGTTGGGACACAATTTAGTTTAACCCCTCTATGATTAGTCAGTGAAAATAGTTACAGTAGAAACTTGGGCAAGATAAACAGTTCCTAATGCGTGCACAGCTTCAGCCAATGAGAAAATATGTGGCTATCAAGAATTGACCAAAAATATCGAGTGGTTTGTGATATATACTTTAGCCCCAATTATGAATAACATGGCAAATGTCAACATTTGGCATGCCGTGTATTATTGGGGCTTAAGCCGTAAGATGTGTTGTTACAACTGAAATAGTTTTAATACCAAACTACATGTAAAAACAGTAATGGGCTTGCAGCGCCCCTACCGGTCAGTTTCTGTACTGCAGAAATCAACACTTTGACCTTGACGATATTGCAGTATGTATTTAAAGCCTAGTCCTTTATACTTCTTTGTCAAAATGCAGTTTAAAGCAACCGCAAAGTAATTTATGAACATAAGCTTTTGATTTAGTAAGGAAGAGGTATGACAACACATACACGTATCTGTCGTTAGAGGTGACGTAACGTACGGAACCCGGAAGTGTGGCGTCGGAAACCCGGAAGTGCACGGACCAAACGACTCCGTACGTAACGCTGCCTTTAAAACCAATTCTGAAGCTATAACTCACAAGTAGCCATATTTACACACCATGTGCTTTTAAAGGGTAAGGTGGGTGGTCTTACATCTATAGGTAGATTGAAGTTTGAGTCCATTTTGGTCGTCAGGTGCCGCACTACACGAGTACATACATGAAATTTAGTATATACAAGACCCCCTTGTTACTCACTGCAAGCACTTACATTCTAGCGATGGTCCTAATTTTTCCATGTTTGAAATCTAAGTACTTGTCGAGTCGTACGCAAGTAACTAATTCACCATTGTTCTTCCCTACACAATATATCAGGGTACCATGCATGAATTCCTTACCCCCCCCCCTCCCGTTGTCAAATGGTTTGTTCCGACACGTAGGTTCAGTCTGTTGTGTATACTAGTAGTCAATTTGGCATGACGTCATTGGGGAAAACCCGCGTGTACAAACTACAATAACAAACTGCGCCGTCGGAACAGCTATTCTTTTAGACATAGTTTACCTAACGAACTAAAGGAATATCAGGTGAGACTATAGGGACTGTATGAGCGTTTCAAAGTACTCCACAAGCAGTATCTGTATACTTTATATTCTATCATAATGCATCGCATTGTTACCTTTAATTGATCTTTCATATTTCATTATTCAATGCATCTTCAAGGCCATTCTACCAGGTCAAACCTGTACATGTGCTAACCTCTGCACACGAATCAACCTACAGTTGTGACTAGTTCTTGTAGTCTGCCCCATAATTTCCCGTGCCTTAAGCATAAACTATCCTGTAAATGATAAACATCTGTCTATTATAACTGATTTTCTTAAACTTCCTTGTTTGGTCACAGCGGAGAGGTTAAACTGGTATATATATATATGTGTGTGTGTGTCTTAACAAAAAGATAATACTATTTAAATGCTGTAAGACGAGCAAATCATTTATTGTTATAAGATATATAACGAAACACGAGAACGTATGATAGTAGGGACACGCTACAGTTTGTAAAAAAACAAATCGACACAAACAGAGGTGGAAGGGGGGCATTCTGTTATCTCCTTTTAAACGTTTGTATCAAAGCAGCCTTGGGGCCCCGTGAACATACCTGTGTACACACGGTTTGTTTATAAACGGCTGCCGACTTACAAAAAGTCAATCCCGGCAGCCAGGTCTGCTATTGTTTAACGTCCAGTCACGTACAGGTGTTTACTTAACACAGGTACAGGTCTGATCAATAGTCCAATATAACACATATTCACTCTACCATACCTCATATTTTGAGCCTTTAAGCATATTCTATAAACTAAAACATGTGAACACTGCTGTTATCAACCAGATCTGTAAGAAACGTAACTTCCCCTTTTGGATTTAGCTCTGCAAAACAAAGCTTTGTGCGAAAGTGAAAGCAGAATTGTTGTTTTCCAATACGTTCACAATGTAAATCTTCTCATCAAACATACACAACAAGGTCTTTAAAGTGTTGTACATATGGGGCGTATAATGGTTATATTGTTCTGAGACATGAACAGGTGCAGGAAAGACGTACCTTGTGCCAGCCGCCCGAGTTCTGCGTCCAGAGCGTTCCCCATCTTGGTTAGGCGGTCACGTGACTCTGGATTCTGGGAAGTCCCGGTGTGTGAAACTGGGTTCACAGTTCGGGGTACGAAACTTGCGTGGCGATATGGCTTACGTCAACCGTACCCAGACAACATGTCTATTGGCTGGCGTTGGTATGTGGGGTGGTTTGTAAAACAGTAATATTTGAAATTTGGCGGTGTTTTATTTGAGAACTTATATAAAAAACACATTGGTCGAACTTTCTGAAAAATTGTAACACTTATATCCTTCAACGAAAGGCATTCGCGACTTTTCGAGTATAAGGCGTGTTGTCTTGTTCATATACAACGTAATAACAACCGTCATAATTTCGTAATGTGGGATAAACACATTAAAAGAATGAACAATAAATTATCAAATTTTTTTCCGAAGCCTTCTCGAGATTGTCGCAAGAACATAACTATTTGAGGTACAAACAACCTGACGATTATATTAGTAAAGCTATAATTGATCTTCTTTTAATTCACATTTTTGTTCTGGACTTAGTGTAGATGGAGATATTAAGACTAGAATAATTACAATTGATGTTACTTGTGGTATAGGTGGAAACATGACATCACAAAAAAAGCTTTTTTTGAACTTCCTTTATTTGCATATACATGTTCATAAATATGCTATAAATTATCGATCCTTACGTATAATATAATGCAATGCCGTGGATAGAGTGGATCAACAACCATTTCCCAAACAGATTCAAAACGTCTAAAAGATTTATGATAAAAGATAACAATAGTTATTACTGCTCCTACTTTGCCATTTGGTGGTACCATGTGTCAATATTATCCAGATGAAATTCTTAATGTAAATGAAAAATAAAGTTTAACTAAAAGTATACAATGTCAACTGACGTTGTAATTTGTTTACATAGTTACATATGTAGCTTAGTAGTATATGGACCAAGGTTCAAGGATAGTTTTTATCGAACTCTATTCTTTCTGCACAGTAAAGAGTACCTATATCTCCTCTTTTATATTCACTGCATACTTTTTGTTATTCTAAATGCACGTATACGAATCAGTAAAAAGTTCAACTACGGCACTTGCATGATTATTATCCTCTACGTTAAATAAATGTGTAAAATGTTCAAAGGATAATTGCATCTGAAGATTTAAGGTAAACAACAATCTGATTGAACAATAGATTGAACGAGCATTGTCTACGTTTCTCTTTTTTGATTACAGTGAATAAATAACAAAAGGCATTTATTTTCAAAGAATCGCCGTAGGGTTAAATAAAGGCTACAGAAAATAAAGAAAAATGTTCATGCATACACATGGTCAAGCTAGCACTACCACCATTGTATTTTTATAGTCATATTTGATAATGCAAATGTCATTTTACATACTAGCCAAAAGGCAACACCTTGCTAAGGTCTTGCGGGGTTTCAAAATCTATTCATGATTTTAACATTTTTATTCCTTTTCTGTTCGTAAGTCGTAACTGTTTGATGGTAGCAAAGCTATTTGTCACGGCGGTTTTCATATTTCTTATGCATTCACAATGTTCCAATTTTACAACTGAGCAAAAAATAGTTATTTTTAATTTGCCATGTTTTTTTTTTAGGAAATGGCAGTTCCGATGTTGAATTCTTAGGCCAGTCTTAATAAAAGGACAAGGCGAGGGTAAGCTGTATTGACTTAGTTCTGCTTTAAAAACATATAAGGCTCGACTTCAGAGTTTATTTGCTTCAACGCTGCTGAGATACACGGGGCCCTGCAAACAAGTCTCGCACTAAACCAAGTGCTGTCGCAGCCCCAAAGTCAAGTACCCTCATCAATATTATAGCAGTGGTATATGATATAAAAGGAGCCCTACGGAAAACAGAAGATAGATTTCGGGGTGTTGCGCCAACAGCAGAACTTTGAGTACTTCCAGACCCCGACACGCTCACCGAGTCAGCAATACTTGACAAGCTTGACGCTCGGCTCAGTGAGGCACAAGCTTCGTCAAACATGCGGTACTCTTCATCTACCTTTGTGCAAAACGCCTCCTTTATGGCCCTCGCCCTGTCTCTTGCCTCCCTTCGCATGGTTTCGGTGTCACAACCGCCGTGCTCCTTAGTACGCTCGATGAGCACCTTCCTATTTTCCCTCATGTATGCCGTGAACTCACGTCTAACGACCTCAACGTCAGCTACCAAAGATGTACATCTAAAGCAAAGGACACAAACCACAGTCATACAAACAATTAGTGTTATAT